TCGCTGTCGGCGGTGAGCGCTAGAGCCGTGCCAGCCGTGCCCAGGCCGCTATACTCGCCCCTCTGCCAAGGAATGTCTTTATTGGTTGCCAGGCTCGCCAATACAACTTGCGAGTTAAAAAGCGCTGGTTTCCAGGAAAAGTACTTCTGGTTTTTAACCTCCCCCTTGCTGTCCAGCTATCGATGTGTTCAACCTCCAAGGAGCAGCTTGGTTCTGGTAAACCTGGTAAATGTGGTAAAAACGTTCTGGTAAACCCAGAGGCAGATGCTTTTACAGAGTGGCCGCAGAGATGTGTAAATTTACACACACGCATAAACACACACACACACAGCTACATGCAGTCACGGTTTTCAAGGCATTTTAAAGGTTTTACAAGGCATTTATGGTTATTATGTACAATCACACCGAAGAACTAGTCTCCTCTAAGGCTCCTAGGAGCTATAGTAATATAAGCAATAAAACTTAGGTATCTGCATATGTGCTTTTATGAAGCCACAGATGCTCTCTTTGCAGTTATTTGCGCACTGCTGGGAGTAACCCATGCTTGTTGACGTACAGAAAACAATGCCTCACTCTGCAAAAAGCAAAGTACAATAAAAAGAGAAAGTGAAAGAATAGTTTAAAAAGTAGAGCTCTCAAGATGTAACTGTTATTTTCCACAGACCACAGGGAATGCACAAAAGAGATGGTGTTTTAAATATACCTTGTGTAACAAACACTTGAAACTCACAGCTGTGGGAGTTCCATGGGCTGTGACCCCAGGCAAGCCCCATTTTCTAGTAGGTCTCTGCCCACTATGACAGTATGACTTTCAATGTCTCCCCAAAAAGTGTCCCTCCTTTGAACAAAGCAAAACAAAGCTTTCAGACTTTCTTTTTAACCAGATGGCATTAACCCCCTTCATTAGACCTCTGTGTGTTGGATGCATGGCTCCAGCATGTCACCACCTCACCTGCTCAGCTCACGCCCCAACTCCTGCCCCAGTGAGACTGGCTGGCCAACTATGATGGTAACACATCTAATGTTTGCATAGGAGGATGGCATCAACCAAGCCAGGCAAGGTCAGCTCCCCCATTTTGCAAAGCAGAAGAGATTGCCAGACTGCATTCAATAGCAGATGACCAATTCAGAGGTGCTGCATTTGACAAATACAAGTACAGGTATTTTAAGATAGCATAGCATGAAGAAAAGAACCCTCAGTAGTTCATTAAAAAAAAAAAAGAAAAGCTTTCTATTTAACTTGATAATCCCTGAAATAGAGACAGAGATTCTTAGCCAAGGCTAACATTTAAAAATGTAAAATGTAATTTTAATTAAGTGTACATTTAATTGCACGTGTATAACTGTGGGGTATAAGTGTGGTTTGTTGGTTCGAAGGCAGATTCACAGCTTTCCTTTAGCACACACTTTTGCTCTCAAGAGCTGTAGACACTTCAAACATTGAAACAGTCATTTATAAAGGGAATACTCGGTCTAGGACACTCTGGCTGGTAACTTCCCTGTAGTTTAGATGAGCTTGCCAGGTAGCAAAAACCAGCGTTTCTCTGTTCACTAGAGCCTTTTGGAGAGGTGCCGTGTGACAGGGAGGCTGTCGGAGGCAGAAATGTTTGCATGGGATGGAGACTGCAACTACCGTAACTGTCCCTGTGGCAAGAACACCCACAGAAACAGGTAATTTGCCCCTCCCACACCAACTAACAGCCAGAAGCAAAAAATGTTAAAGTAACTTACATCATCGTTTGCCTGTATCATTACTAAGGAGGAACTGAAAGCTGTTTTATGAGGAGCAGACAGACAAAACTAGCTTGAGCTTGAGACATAAAAAACCCAAACCACTAAGATACCTGAAGGCATCCCAATTAAGTGATATTACCATCCCGATCAAGATGCAGTCATTGTTAGTAAGCACCCCTGATTTTTAACAGAGATATTCCAATTAAGTAGATTTCCTGATTAGGCGAACTTAATTTAAGTGGAGAGAACAGTGTGGAGAAAACCTGAATGGCTTTTTAGGAGGGCCAGCTTCAGAGGGGAGCTTTGTCACTTGCAACAGAGCACAAGTTGAATTCAGGCCATGTAGCCCAAAATCATGGCAATGCCCCTTTGCCCTGTGCTGAGCAACCATCTTACCTTGAAGACATCCAGCCTTGGTCGGTGCCTCCATCTCTTACCTGCGTGTTCCCTGAGCACGGGTAGATCTGCTGCTGGGCATGCCTGCAACCGCCTGAGTCAGAGCATCTTGGCACCTGTTTTCAGCCTAAATCCCAGTGGGATCCAAAAAGTAGGCAGAGTGGCGTCTAAGCACCCACAGGGTTGATTCAATAGATAATGTCTTGGGCTTTGGGACAAATTTGAAGGGAAGGTTCTTATCAGCTCTGCACCAGATATCTCTGTATTTTACAGGTCTCAACTCTGGCCAGATCTTCGTGATTTTTGGATGGCGTGACTTGAAGTGGCACTTTTTGGCAGGAATCACATAGCGTTTTATACTATTGCCTCCCTCCTTGTTACTCAGGCCTTGAGCTTGAAGGTCTAAAACACAGGTTCTGGAACAAAAAAAATACAGACAGCAAGACTTCCAAACACTGGCCCTTTAGAAAGCTCTGAGCTGAACCTGCCAAATGTGCTGAGTGAAGGAGAGAAGGTTGTAAGTCTTACATCCATATATGTTGTTCTTAATATTCACCATGGGCACACCTAAAGCTGGAACAACACTTCTGGATAGGAGAGAGCTCTGCAAAAGGAGGTTGCAGTGATAGTGATAGCCAGCCCGGGCCATGGGAATAGTTTCATGTCTCTCCCATGCATCTGTTTCCCTCCAGAGGCTGGGCATGTCTTGCATCTACACAATAAGGGAAGGAATGTGAGCCCTCCACCACACCTCTAGCTTTCAACATTTGCTGAGCCTGTTTGTCTATTTTGGTTTTGGTTTTTTTTGTTTTGTTTTCACCTGTGACTTTTGAGATTGTAATCTCAGCAGGGTAGGGACTGCCTTGTGTTCTAGATTTGTACACTGACTGTGCCTGGGATCTTGAGCTGATGTGCTAATAATGAATAAGCATAATTTTCTTGGGGGGTACTCTTCAAGGATTCATCTGGAACAGATTTGACTAAGGATAAAATAGACCATTTCCTTTGGAAGAAATGGGCTCATGATATCCACTCGATTAAAAGGATCACTTTCTGCAGAGGTGAACACAAGTGTTGCACTCAGTAGTGTTCATCATGGATTTGCATAGACTGAATAGTACATCATGTCCCTCTTTCTCCTAAATTTAGGGGAATGGCAGCATCCATCCAAATGTCTTTGAAGAAAATGATGACATGGAATTTTCTTGCTGACCTGCAGCAAAGGTGTGCTCTTGATGTGTGCCTGTTTTTCAGTTTGCCTACCCGTAGAAATTCCAAACGTAGTAGCTTCATTTTGTCTCAGAGGTCTCTTGCTTGTGTGTCATCCTGACCTCGCACGGCTACGTGGCATTGCAGTAAATCTGTCCAGAAATTCATATTTGAATTAGTGTTTGAAATTAATGTTTAAAATTATTTTATTTTATTTTTTTTCATATTCTTCTTTCCCTTTCAAATGAGGCCAGATCCTCAAGCCATTAAATTGAATTGCATCAGTTGTGGCTCTGGCTTGGAGAAATTAAAGGTGAGCACCTGTACCAGCTCAGCACCACCACGCTGAATGCAGTCACAGAAGTGCAACCGTGGAAGAGTGAGCAAGACTAGAGCTTGGATGATGCTGCTGCTGGATTTCGTGTGTGTGCATTATGTGCCAGGAAGGACCATGCAGTGGTGTTAGGAAAACTGCTGGTTTAGGCAGCTCCAGTGTTGAGATTGGTTTCTTGCTCTGAAAGCTGTCCCTCACTAAAGTGTAGTATGCAACTGGCATAATTTTTTTCTTTTTGTACAGACTTAAATATGCTCATTAACTCTTCAAAATAATGTTATCTCTTCCAGGGCATTTCCCATTGAAGTGAATGGTAATGTTCCCATTGACTTTAAAGCACAATTTCCTCCGCCTACTCCTTCTTAAAAGACTTAATCAAGCATGTTTAGTGGAAACCTACGAGAGATGTCTAATGACTGGCTCGCTTTGCCCAGGGAAAAACGTAGCTATAAACTGAAACATGATGCTGAAAACTAAGTTTAGTAGAAAGTGTTTAGTCTAGTGCTGGATGAATGATGGAAGCTTGTATTTGTGAATAATTTATTTGACAATTGGTGCGGGAAAAAAATGACCGAATAAGTTCTTTGCTCATTTTTTCTTGCCTGTCTACCAAACTGGCTGCACAACGCGCAAACAAATTGCTAATATTTATTCAGGAGCAAAGAGGTCAGCTTTTGTCAAAAATGTTTTTAGCAGTGGCTTGGACAAGCACCAGATTAGTTTAATTTTCTTGTGTCCTTTGCATAGTAAACAAAGGCAGTTGTGCTATTAGTTACCGAATTCACTGTGAATTTTGTATCTCGCCAGTAACGCTTACACTATACAGCAAATCCTCTGTTGTAAAGACCCTGCCAGTTCTGGAGCTTGGCTTTCATGCCTGTAGAAAACCTCCTGAGACTTTAGAAACCTCTAAAGCGAGTTTCTCTTTATAGCCTGTACAGAGGGTGCTGCCCACCGCCAGCCCCTTCTGAAAGGGACTTCTTCCGAGTGAGGTGCGGAGCTGCAGACAGCAGCAGTGTACAGGGCTGACGGAGCAGGAGCTGCACTGCTGAGGAGAAGGTGTGCTTTGTGATCAGGGAGGCTGCCATCTTCACATAGGCTGATGTAAATTGCTGCTGATTGCCAGACAGAAGGTGCTTATTAATTATTTTTCCTCTCAGTGAGAAAGGAAATACAGACAGACGTCGGAGTCTCTGAAGAGCTCTCTTTATTAGCTTGACCTGACAGCACTACCGAGGTGTTTTGCTTGGGGACAAAATCCACGTTTTGCCCTGCAATTTAGTAAGCTTGTCTGCATTGCCTCCCACGCTTCCTCCTACAACCTTTCCCTTCCCCTGTGACACACCCAGGCTTCTTTTTTGCTAGTCCTTCATCCTCTGCTACCTTCCTGCCTTCTCCCAAGGTGCCCTATGAGCTTAAGAGCATTCTAAAGTGAATACATATTTTAATACTTTTTTTTTTCCCCCTCCTCACCCCTTTTAAAAGACAGAAAAATATATACTTTCTGTGCAAAACACTGAAGGTGCAATCCCAAATCTCTAATCCCAAATCCAGTGCTGTTGCTGTCAGTAGGTTTCATATTAAAACATGGGCTTTTTGTGGGACTGAAACATGACTGCAGATTTCCCAGAGCACCTTCAAGCCCTATGGGAGTCAGGGGAAGCTGCAGGCTCTTCAGCCCCTCTTAAGCTGGGTTTTATCAGCTTGATGCCTGCCCACAGCATCAGCAGTTGCCTGTACTTATATTTATCCTCTTTGAGAGAGTAAGTTTTCAGGTGCTTACTTTACTTTGATATATTCTCTTCCAATGGGAACAGCCCACTGTTTTTGTGGCTTTACATCTTCAGAACTGTGTATATGTGTGTGAGAGTGCAGAAGGGGAAGGCAAAGTTGTTCCCCAGCCTTTCAGAGCTCCCACCTCTTCCTAAAAGCTGCCTGACAATGTGAAGGAGAGGGGTCACAGCATCATTTCGTCTTGGGCCACGGGATCTGCTTGCTTCCTCATGCAGAGAGGCTCAGATCTGGTCAGGGCTGCTGAAGAACAGGGAAGGGAAGGTATGAGGTATACAAATAGCAGTTCATAGGAATTCTTTTCTATCTTAGCTCCGATGAACTCCCAGTGCACCTAGAGAAGCACTGCCTGATTAGATGCTTCAGCATTTGGCTGTATGTGCTGTCACAGAGACCAGGAGTGCACAGAACTACACTTAACACCATGCCTCAGACTGAAGAGGTCAGTCATGGATCTGTCCTCAGACATGACCCAAATTCAGACCAGTCTTATTTGTATTTGGCTACAGAGAGCCAGGTAGGTGTCAGCCCAGCTCCTGACATAATTTGGAGCAGTAATGAACTACGTGCTGATCTCACAACCTCATCCTCCCACCTGTTTCTGACAATAAAGAAGAACGGAGTAAAGCCAGGGGCTTTTAGCCTGGCTGCTCCCCCTGGGCATTTGGGCTGGGTGAGTCAGTGGCAGGAAGACAGTGCAGGAGAAGAGTGCAGTGTATGGGAAAACCATGGTCAGGCTCAAGCCTTTTTTTGCTGTGCTGGAAGGTCAGAAGGCATCCTTAACAGAAAGAAGAGACTAAACTCCTATCTACCCTGGACTCTTTCAGGGATAGCTCTTCCTTAAAGCCCCGAGTGTGAACTAAGTACATCAGAAACATGGACTTCAGGATCTGATGCTTGCAGGGCCACCCTGAAGTTGTTTGTCTGAGGTACGTGTGTTTCCCTCTGCACACTGCTTGTAGGACCAAGCCCCGCTGTGTGCAGAGAGTCACCTCTTCTCCTCCTGCAGCCAGAGGCAGCTCAGGGTAATCAGCACATTCAGAAATAAGCTCTGACAGTGGAAGCCTGGTAACAGCACAATTTAATTTCACTGTGGAATGCAGCACTCCAAGAAAACTCCCAGACTCAGTTCTTTTCCTTCAAGCACAATCCCTTATCAAGGTCCTTGGCAGCAATTCACATACAGAAAGGAGCAGCTGTCATGGTATTCCCACATACAAACACAAAAAAACAACCCCTCCCTGCTTTCAGTGCAGCAATGTTACGTAGTATGAATAATTACAATATTTAACACTTGTATCTGTGCTTTTAATCTTCAAAGCAGTTAACGAGCACTAGGTGCAGGTAATTGTAGCTGCAGAGTGATGTGGCCGTCTGCAAGAAAAAGAGAATTGTGTGCATGAGTGCTCCAGTGGTCCTGTGCAGGGTGGGCACAGAGCAAATAGGGCTTTAAAGACCCATCCACACGAAATCCCTTGGCTGCCAGGGCTGATTTTTTCCTACGACTGATCGCTGTCCCCCTGCCAGAGGTCACTGACTTCTCAGGTCTGTTGGTGGAATCACTCACCTTATGGTTTCCCAACCCATCTCAGTCCCAATGAACTTGGTTAGGAAAGACCTGTATGGTAAACCATGCTAGCTGAGCTGGCGCGTTCTCACTGGAATGGATGAGGGAGTGCTTGGATGAGCAGCTCAGCCATCAGACCTGGGAAAATGGTAATTCCTGACAGATGGGCAGAAAAGAAGGTGACTGTGGAGAGACTTGCAGGAGGCCTGTAGGAGGCTGGCAATGGTGGCTGCTGGCCCAGGAGGTGTTTATCTGACCAAGAGAGACAAGCCTGTGCTGGTTTGTCCCCATTTTGGTTTGTCCCTTGGTCAATTTGATATGGAAAACATCACTGTAAAAAAACATCATTGTATTTTTTCTTTTTTCCTTAGTCTTATTGTTGTATCCATGTAGCTCTTGGCTCACAGTGGAAATCTTTTTTCCTTAGTCTTGGCCATTTGCTCTTGCAATGGTGCCCCTCTCTTCTCTCTTGTTTTGCTTTCTTACCAAGATTGCTCATCCACAAGTACTTGGGTAATGCCTCTGTTGTTGCTTAGAGTAGGCAAATGAGATTAGTGGATGCGAAATGCATCCTCAGAGCATGCAGCTCTACAGGGCACCAGCTGCCAGCACCTGGGAGGGCAGAGCATAGCCTCACACAGGGCATCCTGACCATCCAGTTCTACTCCCTGCCTTCACAGGCAAGAAGGCTGTGTATTTATTAATGTGAGGCGATCACTGTGGCAAAACAAGGTGGTGTTGATCTGGTCCTTTCCAACTCCAGTGACCCTGTGAGACTGTGCACTGACTGCTCTGTTTAGATAAGTTTGGGGCCCACGTACCTTGTAATTTGATTTTAAACAAAGCAAATACAAACCTAACTGCTGGAACCTTTGTTTTCACTGGAAATCACACTCTTATCTGTGCAGTATGAATGTCTGTCCTTCCTGCTGCTTAAGAGGAAAATGAAGGTGATATATAGTAAGGTAGTAACAATACGTTAACAGGAATCAGTTCACTCAGAAGGGTTAGCTCAGGGTTTGCTTTTATTTTAACTGTTCATGCACATTATCATTTTCCTCTTGAGGACTGTTTTGGGAAAAAACATTGTGAAACCCTGAGCTAGTTCTCTTTTGTGCTGCGGCTTCATTAATAAGTACATAGCTCCAGAAAATGAAGCCTCTACTTCATGAAAATATTCCCCAAAAGAATTTTGTCTCTGTCCCTTTGGTTAGTAAAGTTTTAGTAATATAATTCTTCCTGTTTTTATTATTATGAATTGGATAACATTTTTTCTTCTAAGAACTCCACTCCTGAAACGGATTGATGAGAAGAGAATCTTTCCATTCTGTTTTTTAAAAAAAAGAGTTTCTAGACCTTATTGTTTGAGAGGAAAGAATCTTATGAGTGTGAGAATACCTCGGAAAAAAAAAACCAGCTCTGTGAAGAAACACATGAACAAACCAACCTCTGTAGTTTAACCTTGTGACTCTTCAGTTCCTCCTTCTTTCTGAGGCCTCAACTATTTCAATTGGCAGTGCTGTGGAAGGGGTAGCTCTTCCAGACAGCTGCTTCCAGGCAAGCAATGCCCTGGGAGAAGGAGCAGACCTAAGCTCTCAGCTTGGTAACTCAGTCTCCTGCTTGTACTGTTCTGTGGCAGGACAAGACGAGGGGAAAAAAAATAACCAACCCTGAAATCATCTCCCTTGCTCGCACCATTCCAATTAAGTGCAATCAATTGCTCAATCAATCTTTTGCTCTTAATAAAGTCAGTTATCTTTTTCCTTCTAATTCCCCTCCAGGTTTTTAAACAATTGTTCAGACAGACACAACAAGCAGCTTTTGTAAAGGAAGAGTGTAGGCGTTTCCTTTGGCTGTTTTCACTTTCTGCCTATGATGATGTTATGCTCCGCACCCTCCCCAAATCCTAATCATATACAATGAGTGTGCTGGGAGCCCATATATATTTTTTTCCAACTGGCATGGACTGAGCACTCTAATTTGATAGCAAAATCATGCCAAAATATTTGGGGGGCGGGGGGTGGGAGCAGGGAGGGAGAATAGACATTTTGTCATCTTTGTGTTGCTGATGAGTCAGACCATTTAAACTAAGGAAAAGTTTAAAAAAGGGAAGTGCTCTCCAACCTTATCTACTCCAACATTAATTTGGGTAGAAGGTAGGAGTGGAGGAAGTCTGAGCAAACCTGTTCCTCGTTCAAGTTGCCTTTAGATGGTTACCGTTGTCTGCAGGCTGACAGAAGATGCATTCAGTTGCTGCCCACCATTGAGAGTGGCAGAGAGGGCGAGGCCCCAGATGTGCTCATCTCGGTTTTGTGTGTGTGCAAAAGCCATGCGTGGTGGATGTGCATATGTAAAATCGACCAGCACTGGCTTCCATTGCACTGCTCTGACTCCCCTGCATTCCTTGTGGGAGGGAGACTACGGTGCACCTGCACAATGCACATTTATACCTCAGTGCACCTGTCCCTGGTAGGTTTAAGTCTCCTATCTTAAAAAAAAACCCCAAACAGATAAACTGTTTTTGACTGACATAATCATGCAAGGATTATCTGTGAGTCAGGCTGTGTCTGGAAGCAGAACTGATCGGTCCCATTCAAAGTGGATGAGAAGATTAGATGGAGCAGATACCAAGCAACTTAAGAAAAAGGGGAAAAAAAAGATGTAGTCAGGAGGGTTAGGAGTGACCTGAACGGGAAGAAGAGGTAAGAGGGTGTGGTACTGTGGAAAGTGCCAGCAGCACAGTCCTCACTTAAACTTTACTTAGACTTTCCTGTGTGTTGATTTTAGCATAGGGATGGTCAAGCCAGGCCTACACATTTAACGGGAAACTGAGGGGCGACGTCAAGGAAGTGGCGTCGCCTCACTGTGAAAGTAAAACAAACCAAGTTAGAGGAAAGCCTTGAGTCCTAGGGGCGCTGATGGCAATTACATCACACCAGGGCACGTTTGCACCCCAGCAGCTCCTGCTCCTTGTCAACAAACCTAAGCTAGCCTCTCTCCTGTGTGTGATGCTCTGGGCCCTGGCTGCTTGTGTGCAGGGCTGGCTTCTCTGGCAGGTTTTGCAGACTGTAGTAACCCTCTGCTTCTGTGTTTACGCTGCCATCAGTCCCCCAGTAAGGGGATTTGAAGCTAGATCAGCAGGGCCCGTCCTACATGCAACTTCTGTGGTGCAGACATGCCCTGGGACATGAAAAAGTAGGTAAAACTCAGATGAATATGCTAAAGGTGGTAACAGGATAATGAGAGGGAAGTTCTATTCTACCTGATGGGCCATTTTCAGCTCTGTTTTTGAGGCTAACCCTGCTGGAAGGTGAAGAGGTGAGGAATAAGTTTGCTCATTTTATTATCACTGGTCGCAGTCTCCAGCTGTCTCAGTTGCAGGCAGAAGCCTCCAGAGTAGCTCAGAGGAAGTCTGCTCCAAACCACCCCAAATGACAGTGTCTCCAAGGTGCTAATATGGCAGTGGAGCCAGCTGGGTATGGAGGTTTCTCACGAATGCCCCCTTGCTTGGCTTTAGGGATGGAGGAGCTGTGCAGGAGCTGCTGTGCTGGTGGCAGGCCAGGAGACAATCTCCTTGCACTGGGGTGAGCCTCCCTTGGCTGGGTCTTCCAGCCTCGGGGCTGTTTGCATTGTGAGGATGGCACAAAGCAGCTTTACTTCAGGGAAGGATTGGGGCCTGGGCCTTATCTCACTTTGATTATATTAAATAATCTATCTGTCTGCCATGTTATTTACATAACTCTTATTTAAATACTTTTACATCAGACACACTGAATCATGAGACTGAAAGTCTAGACGACGCTTGCTAGGCTCAGCCTGCCTTTAACCCTCCCATGCTGGCATCTTTCTTGTGTTTCCCTTCAGGATTACCCTGCTCTGCCTTTGGCCTGTGAGGGACATATGAAGTGCCTGGTGGTCCAATGATTTCAGAGTGAGCAAAGTGAAATTGCTGAGCTGAGAGAGCGAGAGCACAGAAGGCAGATAAAGAGGAGGGGGAAAGCAGCAGAGAGGAGGGAGATGCAGTGAGTTGTTTGTCTGGTTTTACTAGGTCAGCTTTGAGTGACACTGCAGGGCACATGGCTTTGAGAAGACGAACTCAGGGCAGGACTTTACCCCTGGAACTTGCCTTCTGGCACTGCCCTGGCTGGCTGCTATAAGGGATAACTCATTTTGGGGAGAGCAGAAGAAGGAGTTACCTCATGCTAAGCGTGCTTATAGGTAGAGGCTAGAAGCTGGGAATTGGGAGAGGGCAAATAGGATAGAAAATAAATTTGCTATTTTAGAGAAAAGCTAAGAAAGCCCATTCATTTCCTCAGGTTCTTCCCTCTCCCTTAAAACACATTATAAATTACTAATAATTCATAAATGGCTTGTGTCATGGCATGCTTGATAATTTCATCTGTCTCTCCTTCTGAAGGTACACTCTGAGTTTTCATGACTCACTGGCACAAGCCTTGCTGTTATGATTTAATTATATTTGATTTTGACACATGTTTCCTGAGATACTTGGGTGCACTGGAACCAAATTTCTGCTTTGGAAAATAGGAGGATCGAGGCTTCTGGTTCCTCATCTTTCTCTTATAAACAAAATTTTGTCAAGGGCTGCTCTAGCCCTGGCTGCTGCTTCCAGAGGCCTTGGGAACGTCAAGGCTGAGATGGAGCAGCACTTCCACCTAGTGGTCTGCACAAATTAAGGCAATTTCTCCAACCTCTGGGCTTCTTAGTCGGCGACAAAATCTTGAAATTAATCTCTGAAATAGTGAATCTTGCCCTAATAATGCAAGCAGTGGGTTGCTTGCATTCCAGAAAGAATAACACAGTAATCCGGGTTTTATTTATGTGTGCAAGTCATTTTTTGGACTTAGTTCCTTGGGAATTGATGTGATTTGTTAGATGACAATCTCAGGGATGGTGTGACAACAAGGTGAAGCACGGAAAATCATGTATTCTTAAACTGAAGAGCAATGCAGTGCGTACTGTGCTCTGCATACAAAATGCTTGGCACTCACCTATGCATCCCACAGCACTTTACACATCTGCATTCACCCTTAATTTACAGCTGGAAAAAACAAGATATGAGGGACCATGGCAGATACTTCAACAAATAGTATATTTTGTATCATTGTTTTTGGGAGCTGCATGTGGATACTGTTCTGGAAGGAAGCTGAGCAGTGAACTCAAGTGAGTAAGGATTTAGCTTATGGATCCAGCGTGGCAGAGTCCTGGTCTGTGGGACAGTGTTCCAGTGCAGATAAACAACCAACAGAGCAACAGCCACAGCAGTGTACAGTGTAATACCAGGGGAACTTTAGCCCCTCTGAAAACCAGACCTACTGTCTCATGCCGAGCTCTCAGGGAACTGAGACCTGCTCATCTCATGAACAGATACTTCTCAACAAGTCAAAGGATTGACTTTTCAAGTTGAAAAATCCAAGCTGAGGATTACTAGGTGGGGGTAAATCACACTGGCAGGCCTGTCGGTAGCAAAAGCCCTATAAACTTCTGAAGGGAAGGCTCAGGTTTGCTGTCTCCTCCTGCCATTGCCAAGCTGTGCTGCCTCCTTTCAGCAGCTGTTGTGAAAGAGGAACTTGCTGTTCTACAAGGGCTGTTTCCCAACAAGGAGGCTGAAAGGGTGGAATTGTTATTGTGAAGGCTGGGGAATTACACACACACAGGCACACACAAGCACACACACATATACCCACACCTCCTCTGATTCCTGTGAAGGGAAGCTGTGAGTTCAGAAGTGAGGTTCAGAGCAACTGAGGTGATTCTGCCATGAATGGCAGTATGTGATTGACATCTCTGGGCTGATTCAACATCCAGGCATGGTATGAGGTGTGTTGAAGTTATTTTAAGGTGCTGTGCCCTGCCTTAGGGTATCCTGAAATTCTGACACCCTGCCAAATACTTGACTCCTGGGGGGAGGGGGTGATCTTCTGATAACCACACCCTTCCCAATTGACTGCCCAAATGCAATTATATTTTGAAAAGTCTTTATTGACAGCAAAAAAAGGAACGATTTTTACTGGAGGAACACACAGGTCATTGTTCGTCTTCTGCTGTGTGACTCATCCAGATCAAGCTGTCTGTTTAGTGTATCTACTAATGCAGTTAACTTGGAAAACCTAACCCATAAGTGCTTCTTTTGTTTCCTAAAAAACAATCGCTGGATGCCTTTTGAAACTTTTCAATTTTTTTTTTTTTTAAGCCCTGGTGTGTTTTGGAACGAGAAGAGCAGAGGCACTTTCTTGGCAAATGTTCCATAACCTTTTCTGTTCCACCCTAAGACAGTACCTTCTTTTACTGGCTTGCAACAGAAGTGCTTTACACCTCTGAAGAGAGGAAACCTTAATGGCATGCCTGTGAGCTGAGTGAGCCTGAAGGCTGGCATAGTGTCACACTTTATCATTAGATCAGGTCCAAAATATATTCCTGAGGGTCAGACCCTGAGCGTGACCTCTCCTGACCCGATCCATCAGCGCCCAGTCGTGATCTTCCTGGGACAGGGGCAAGACGCAAGCCAGCCTTTACCCCAGTCCCCCCTCTCCCCCTGAAACACACAGAATTTATGCTCAGAGCTCCTTGTGTCATGGAGGTGGCTGCAGTGCCAGGACAGGAGCATCAGGGATAAAGATCCACCCCTGCCACTCTTTTCTGCCCATCCATCCGTTGCACAAGGGAGAGAGATTGCAAGAACACATCGCCTCCCCCAGCCTGTGCAGCCACCTGCATCCTGCCCCTTTGGCACTGCAGAGCTGCCCCATGTGCGATGCAGCTGGAGAGCCCTCTGCCCCCAGAGGAAGCACGACGCTCATCCTGAAATGCAGGAACACTTCAGACTGCCTTGTTTGGAATCAAAACCCTTGGATTTTGTTTAATTTTTATTTTGTTTTGTCTAAGGTGGCTAACTGTTAGCTCCTGAGTTCTCCCAGATGAGGTTTTTATCAGAAATAGGCTATATGCAAATGAATATACTGCCCCCAGTTAGGAAGAAAAAGGACTTCAGACAATGCACTTATCTCAGTACTGCTTGGGTAGTTGAAGCAGCTGCAAGAAAGCTAATAGCAGGGTTGAAACCAGACTTGCCAGCAATTTCATTCTTGGCCAGACAGTCAATTTTTTCATGCTTTTGTCTGGCTGTCTCTTGGTAGGGCTGCACAAGAAGACCAGCTTTACTCTCTCTCATTATTATACATATATTTTTCAGCTGAATTCATCTATGACTGCCATAATTCAGTGGCACTCTGTTTCCAAGGAAGCTTGAGTGACTGAATAATGAAGATGAATCGTGATTCCAGAATAAAAAAGAAAATTCCTCTCTTCTTTGCAGCCCAATCCCAATAACCTGCTTTTGCCAACCTGTCCCTATGAAATAAAAAAAGAGGCATTCATTTGTACTGCCTCATTTTCCTCCGTGTATAGTGGATTTTTTATTGCAATCTGTCACTCTCATGTGCACTCTCTAAACAGCCTGTGCCCCCTTCCACTCCAGGCAGTACGGAGAGCAGTTATTTTTAATAGAACTCATTTAACATACCTATGTGTTGGTTTGTAGCAGAGCTCACACTCTCTGGACTTCGCTGCAGCTGGGATCCTCCTCTGGACAAAGGTGATGTGTCTTAGAGCGTCCTTGGCTTGGCAGGAAGGTTTATTAAAATACCACAAGTTCAGACAATGCTGGTTACGAGGAGTGCACACGGCGTTGTATGTGAGAGGACTGGAGCAGGGTTTCCAGTAAAAATGAAGTGACTTAGAAAACTCTTCTTCACCCTGGCACATCCCAGGGAGCGTATTCTGTGTCTGTGTGTCTGGTGAAGCCTGCTTGCACTCAGTGCACAGTGTGTGCTTGTACATGGCTCACAGAAAATCTTGGGAATCGTTTAGCTCCTTGCTTGCGCACAGCACAGGTTTCAAAGCGTCCCAAAGCGTATTCTTTTGTGTCCAATGAAAGCCTGTCTCAGACTTTAAGCATAGCAGGGGCCATAGTTTCAGCTGCTGTAAATCAATGAAGTCTCAGGGAATCTGGTGGGGCTCTGCCATTTTACACCAGCTGAAAGTTTGTACCCTTTCCTGCGCCCTGTACGCAGCCCTGGGGATGTAGGCAGCAGAGGCAGGAGGCAGCAGCCCACGTAATGACAGCCTGTGGAGCTGTAGCACAATGCCTGCTGTGAGCTGCCGAGTTAGTGCTATGTGGTTTCATCATCTGCCCAGGCAAAATGAGGACACGATATTGCAAGACACTTTCAGGCTGTTGCCACAAGCTGTTTTACATGTCTTAGAGTCTTCAGCTGCCACACGAGTGGAGGTCTCAGCTTTCTTTTGTGGTGGTGTCAAAAAGCTATTTCTGATTCCTTTCCTCTGGCTTCTCTGCATTTCACAACACAAAGAAGGTTTCCTCTACCTTTTATTTGATTGGTTTTTCAATGCTACGTATGAGTTCCAGTTAGTCCCAGGAACTTTTTCTGATCTTGGCAGTAAGATTCCAAACAGTTGATGAGGGGTTTGAATGAGAACTACCTCAGAAGGTAGAAGTCAGTCCCTTCAAAGAAGGCACTTTTCACCAGCCAACCTTCTAGCCCTGTTCTTTTCAGTAGCCTTACAGGACTTGATTTCATGGCCGAACCTCTTTGGCTTTTCATCTGTCTCTTGTCATCTTTGAATTCATAGTTTGAACGGTAGTTCAAAGTATACATAAATTTTGCCTTAAAAAATAACACAAAGAAAAGAAGGAAAGCATTTTCAGCTTAATTTATTAAAACTGTTGGATTAAGATTTTCTGAAACTTTGTGGCCAACTTGTAGGTCATTTTCCAACTGTGTTAAGTCCACAGATATAGTATCTAGTGATTATTTAATAGAGCTATGCTCACTTGTGAGCATACATGCTGATCCCTCCTTTTCATTTTCTCCTTTTGACTCATAAAACCCTAGATGGGTTAGGATCTCACAGCTTGATATATTATATATTTGTCTGTGGTCCAGGAGCCTACCTTTCAATAACACCTTCCCAATCCCTTGAGACCTCTGTTAAGACAAAATATAGTTACTTTTGAGAGCTGCTCAGGAGTCAGAGTGACTAGTCTGTGGTTATAAAGTATTGTCTACTTTTGGTTGTATGTTAGGGCTCTGGATGACTTTTTCCTGCGTTAAAGTGTCTATGGGACAGGACAGACATGTGAGTCAGAAAACTCAAGTCCTTCTGTCCCTATCTGTTATTGAAGCCAAAGACAGCTCTGAGTGAGGCTGTGAGGCTGTGGGTACAAGTGCTGTTTTCACTTGGAACTTAAGTTCCCCAGGCACTTTGAAAACCTCCTTCTGTGCCTGAGTCAGCAGTGCAGCGTTTGGCCCATGGTTAGGTAACTACTCACTGATCCTGTTGCCAGCAGCAAGCCAACAAACTCAAACCTTGCAGTCTGAGCTGTGATTTCACTGGTGTCGTGTCAGGCTGAAATACAGATGAATATGAGTCTGTTTCAGATGCCAAAATGTCTTCTGTCACCTCAAGATGTACAGTGATCTCCGGCAGGAAAGGAGGGCATCAGTGACTTAGGAGTATTGTGGTGTTTCTCTTCATTCATTCATGCCAGCTGAATTGGAAATAGTGGTAGATAAAGGCAAGCAAATCGAGTCCTGGCAGCACAGCAACTGCTTTCCTGAGCTTATAAGCTAGGAGAGTGATGGAGATATCCTGAACTGTAAATGGTGCAGCAACAGTAAGTGGCAAAGCAGTGAGTGCGTAGATAAACTGCAGGGGGAAACAAGTGGTAGAGCCCCAGCTGTAGCATGGGCACTTCAGTTCACACTTACCTCAGCCAATTCCCTCTCTGAGGGGTGAGCTCAGCTCAAGGACAATGTTTAGAAATAAATGTGGAAGAAGACAGATGTGTAAGGTGCTGCTTTGAGGTCTCAGGCTTGCTCACGTTCCCCTTTCTCTGAGTCTCTTAAAAGAGGTTATGTTCCTTGTCCCTATTGCCAGCACCTCTGCATGCCTCACTTTCCCTTCTAGGCTCAGCAGGTCCAGGACTGCTGTGAGCTACCTGAGGGCAGCCTGAATTGGAAGCGGAAAGTGCCAGATCCTAGGTAGGTTTTTCTCCTCTCCTCTCTGTCTTAAAGCCTTTTCTTCAGTCATTGCCACTGCCTGAGACACTGCTCCAGCTGTGGGAATGAGCAGGTCAGGACTGTGTTATTTGTGCTGCCAAGTGCTGCCAGTCCTGGGCACGAACAGGAGGAAGGGGAAGGATGAACCATGCTTTTCTGGGATCTGCTCTTGTCCTTCCCACATCCTTCATAGCCTCAGCTCCTTTAGGAGCAGCTGTAATGGTCTAAGGAATTTCAGTAGTGGGAGGTAAGGTTAACAGCCTCCCTAAAAAGCCAGATGAGGCTCTAAAAAGTGGCAAAGGACATTTGTGAGAGCAACAGAGTTCAGGCAAAGCTTCCTGCCCTGCACTTCCTCTCTTTGCAACCTCCACCCACGTGTGGTGGGAAGGTGCAAGAGGTGGTGCCCCAGGAAAGCTGTCCTCCAACAGGGGACATACTGCGTTAATAACTAGGATGCTGAGCAAAAAACTACATCTGTAGGAGATGTTGCAATTTTCAACTGCAGATTGTTATCTATCTTCTGAATGTCCCTCAGAATCTCCTGGGAGATTTGCTGAAATAAAAGTTTTTTTAACCATTTCAGTCAAATGAGCTGGTTTAGAAGAACGCTGTAATTTAAATAATTTGAGCTACTTGGGTGCAATGTGCTAAGGATGCCTGAGGACTCTCTTGAACCAAAAGACCTGTGGCTTGTAGCAGTGATATGTAGGTAAAGGGGAGTGGAGGCTGCAGCTTTTGTGGATGGCACAGTTGGGGCTGGAAGAGGACATTTGGACAGAATGGCTGTAAAGTCAGACTCAGTTTTGGATCTACTGCTCCTCTTGTGATACTAGTCCTATGCAGGTAGACTGCTTTTGAGGGAATCACTCATGAATTACAACAAAGTGAGGTCTTTCTGTCTGCCATAATTTTTATTCTGGGTGTAACTGCAGACCTAACTGAGGAAAACTTTTTGTCCTTAACATGAATATATCCAAAGTTGAATTCAGCTGCTTCTAAACTTCGGTGGGGTCAGTGAAGCAAATTCTGAGTGTCATTTGTCAAAGCATGGTATTAAAAACATATTTACACAGAGAAAGATGCATGGGTGAAGCAGTCTCAAGGAATCTGAGCAAACTTCAAAAGCAACCTTAAAACCAAAGAAATTTTACTAAAGAAAGTAATCAAGTGTATTTACATACCTATCCCAAGCAGATTGGATGAAGGCAAAAGTGCTGATGGATTTCATCTCACCTTGGGGAGTGGGAAAGAAACACTCAGTATATACCTTCCCACCCTCCCAGGGAGAGGATGCAGCTCAAACCTTTTCTATTTCTGTGGTTACCCTGGCAGCCTTCTTTGGCTCTGGAAGATGACAGTCTGTGCTAGTACACTGCTACACACTCACTGGCATGAGCATGGCCCATTGCAACTGATGCTCTGAACAATTTTTGGGTCTGGTCTGGCAAAAGGAGTGTGCCAGACAGTATACCCAGTAGATGGTTTGCTGGCTGCCACCTTATTTAGGAGGCTTGTTCACTAGCCCACTGTTCTCTGGCCTCCCTCCAACTGGCCTGGAAGTTTGGTCCCAATATCATAATGGTCTAGTTCACTGTTAGGGACACAGTCCAACTGTATCACAGCATGGGATGTACGTGGGCCATGCTGGAATTCAGCATGGAGCACGTTAGCTATTCAATGGCCTGTGCAGGTACCTCAGCAAAGCTCCTGGACGTTTGTGCTTTCTTACCTTGGAGGAAGAAGAAATGATATAAGGGGCTAAATCCTGCTGAGGTACAACTTGGGAACACAGTAACAGGGTGAGGGTGAAGGTGTGCAAAGGCCCAGTGTGTTCAGTTGGGCCTTGCCAACCTAAGATCCTTGCAAACGAGTACAAATCCTAAGTGATTCACTGAACTATGGGAAGAGAAAATCACAAACAAGTGAGTTTTCCATGGTACCAGCTCATTCCCAGTTGTTTTACAGGCATGGGATACTCTGCCCATGGCATCAAGCTGGAGGTTTGACTGTGTCACCTCTGCTTAAGCAACTTGGGACAGCTTGTGAAGAATGTCCAGCTAGGGGAGGTTAAGCTCAAAACTTCTGTCCAAAATGTGATGAGGCACTCAAATCATGCCTTGACCCTCATGGCAGCATTCTGAGATTTTAACATGATTTATGTACATCCATCTTCTTCATATAGATTTGTATTGCTATATTTACTGTAGAGAGTATCTTTAGGGCTGCAAGATAAAAAACCCTGTACTATTCAGAGGTGCAGTAGTTTTCAGGAGTGCTTGGTTGATTGTGAGGTAAATGTCCAGGACAGGAATTTGGGAGTGCTTTGGAAAAAATGAGACCTTGTAATTACTTTTGTCCTGCATACTCAGAGATCAGAAGAGCAAAGATCAGGATTTGCCCAGAGATTGTGATAGAGGCAGGGAGCCTGTGAGGGTGAAACAAAAGGCAAAGGGAGTGACCGTGGGACAGGAACCACTGTGGCACTGACACTCATAATGGAGGACAGGGAAGCCAGGGGATTTTGAGCTGGTGATGGTGAGCCAGGGACAAATAGTAGGCTGCAGCCAGAGTAAGGAAGTTTCACAGGAAATTTAAGGCTCAGATATTAATTTGATGTCTGTCTGATGGCCTCCAAGCTGGATATGGGACAGAATCCATTGCCCATGCACACCAGCGGTGATATGCCAGATTCTCTCCAGCTAGGCAGTGGCACTCACTAGGCTCACTGCCTCTTACCCAACCTCTGAAAGTCTCTGGGACTCTGCAATGGCTCACAAGTGCAAGAGCTCACAGTGCTGAGGAAAGCTTTTCCAGTAGGGAGGCTCAGTTCTGCCTCTGGCACATACTGAGCCCGGTCTGTAACACACATGGACTCCACCACAGAGTGGTCCTGATGGTCCTGAGCTATCTCATGCAAGACAGCTACCTTAATCTAGATATCTCCTCTTCTTTTGCACACCTAAATAAATCTGGGTTGCAGTGAACTGTACTTTATGTATCCTTCAGAAAGCCATAATTTATGTACACAATGAACCAGAACAGAGCATTGCAGAAGATTTGTGGTCATCTGTGGTCAAGCAGTTGAGCTAAATTCTTCTCATTAGCCTGGAGGGGCAAAATGCACATGCAGTAGTCCTTTAAGGCTTGCCATCATTTGTTTTTTCTATCATCTTTCCTGTTCAGTGGTAGGTGCTTTTCCTCTGCTGTGATCTCCACGTCTCTGTGAATTTCTACAGCATTTGAAATACTGTGTAAAGAATGGACAACCCATTTTCTGAGTACAAAATATTAGCATTGTCATTCCATGCAAAGTATCTTCCAAGGTAGCACTAGGTTATCCCAACGTGATAAGTAACCAGTCTACTTGTTGACATATGTAATTATAAATTTGTATCATTTGGATAATGCTTATCTAATTCTCAAATACTTCTCACTTGATTTCCATTTTCACTATAAATTTCTTGTTTTCTTTAATCTCCCCCAGTCTGGGTGTCAAGTGCTAATATAATTAATGATTTTTTTCTACTTCTACTTCCAGATAACAGCAGAAAATGTTGAATAAACCAGAGCTTTGTCAGGACCCTGCTAGAAAATTCATCCAAACACATCATTTTACAACTCTGCTGGATTTTCTTTTGGAGATAGTTCATTTGTATTTGCTGCGTGTTTGTGGGAGTAGAAAGCACTGAGATCTAAACAAGGTAGATAAATCATTCCAATGAAGCTATTTTCAAGAAAGGGCATTGTGAAAAACAGAGAGCCATGGACAATCTGCATTGAATGAGGACTCTGTTTTGACTTGGGTGGTGCTAAAACAGCGTGTGTTTGCAAGTTATTGAGTAACAGGGAGGAGGAACTGTGAAGACTCTTGTATTGCCCTGTTTGTGGGTAAAAAGATGGAAAGAATTGCTCTGAGACTTCTGTTCCTGGGCTGACTGGTGCATCCAGAAGAAAAAAGAGAATGAGAACAATACTCATTTGCCCATTCACAAAATTTGAATACAGGCTTTTACTTGGGTTTTTTTTGACTCTCCCAAACATCATCAGCTGACATATTTTCCACTGCCATGTAAAAATCCTGCTTTGTTATAATAAGACTTATAAAAAGAATAAGCAAGACAGCAAAAATATATTGAACAAATAAATCTGGCGGATTAAAAAAAGTGAGGCAGTGCCCATACTCTGTCTTCACCTCGCAGTTCAAAGCCAGAGCTGAGTGCCTCAACAGGCTGCTCGAGTGGAAGTCACGAAGAGCACAGATTGCTTGGCAGAGCATCCGCCACACAGAGGCTCGTCTCTCCAGTCTGACCCTTCCTCTGTGTAGGTCTCCCTGCATTTTGCCTGCTGGCAGGCAAGCTGCCTTTCGTTAGTGCCTCCATTCCCATCTAAGTGTGGCCCTCACTTTGGGCCTGATCCAAGGCCAACGGGAAGACTTTCGCTGGCTCCAGTCAACTTTTGGAGCAGCCTCTTTGAAGGGAAAGGCCGGCAAAAGGGCTGTGTGGAGAGCTATGAAATGCTTGTGCGTGTTCTCTTTGAGCTTAATGGTGCTCTGTGCTCTGAAATGCTCATGCATGAGTGTAGGGTAGAAAAGGAAAAAGAAAAAAAAAAATAAAAAATTGCTAAGCCAGGAGAAAGAGGGCAGGGGAACCTGATCCTGCATGAACTGGAGTGCAGCTGCATAGCCTTGAGCGTTATTGTGCATAGTAGCAAAAATGAGGCCCAAAAGGGGAACGCTTAACTAAGTACCTCAGCAGCACTACAAGATGCTTACACTAATGTCTCCTCAGACATGCCTGCTGTGAGGCTGGGTGGGAGTCTTAAGGGATCCAGAGATTTAATGCTTTATGGTGAAAAGGACCAAAACAAGCTTTTAACTTGCACCTGCACACAAGCCCCCGCTGGGACTGGCATGAATACATTCCTAGCATGTGCGATTCTGCGTGGCCATGGCTTTTGAAGGGCCAGTGGATATTTTCTGGGCTAGCAAACACCACGTTTCTTGGGTTGTGGGGGTGACAAACAATATGAATTGCATTATATGAAAAAGTCATTCCAAGAGAAGATAGACAACAGCACACCGAGGACTAATAGTAACATGCTAGAAAAATACTGCTTTTCTACCATCAGCAGTGATGGAAAACAGCAAGACCTGAAAGTGATCAACAGTAAATATTATGGAATCAATATTAGTCAGTTGAGAATTTGCATGGAGCCGGAGGATTTCAGTAACATAATAAGCAGGGACATTTTTCCTCAAGTGCAGCTCAGGAATTTGAATTGCTCTTCAGGGATGCCATCTAACATTTTGTTCTTTTCAAAGTAGGAGGGGCAGCTACATACAGATGCAGAAAGTGAAGGGTGAAACACATCTGTAAGTAGGATCTCTGGGTCAGATTTATGGTATTTCTGGGTGTACTAGGGCTGAGCTGGATGCATCTCTATTTGTTGCTGTCTCCCAGTGAAGAGAAGCTCTCTGTAAATGATAACCAGGGCCTTCCTAGTAATGGACTCAGGACAGAAATTTTGAACAGCATGGCATGTCTGAGAGGGGAAAAAAATTTGCTCATGGACTGAACCTAGACTGGAGTTTTCCCTTTCTGGGTTCAAGAAAGCCAGCTGGGGTGCTTGAAGGCAGCTGTCATGGACGGCAGGAAGAGTGAACTTCCTTTCCCCAGACTGGGGGCTCACATGGTCCTTAGCCCAAGGGTATAATGAAAGCTGAAGGAACTGCACTGAAAAACATGATGATGTGGAAGGTTTTGCTGACTAAGAAACATTTGACTGTGAATGAACTCCATGGGGAACCCAGTGTTAGGCTCAATAGAAAATGAGAGGCAAGTGAAGCAAATATGGAAAAGAGAGGTAAAGAAATAGCCCAAGATAGTATCTAAAAGAGAGAAGGAAAATACAAGTATTAAGTCAAGGGGAAGAAAAATGAATGAAGGCTTGGAAAGAACCCTGAATTAATGGTTACTCTTGGGTGCTGTCATTTGATTTCATTTTCAGTCATTTTCAGTCAATTTATGTAATGCTGCACTGCCTGTCTAGTAAAAATGTACAGCCTTTTTGGGCCTTTTTTTTATATTAGCCTATGTTTGAAATTGAAATTAATGTTTTTTTGGCTCTGTTATTTGGATGCTTGCATTTGACACATATCTTCAGGCATCGTTTTGTCAGCAGACATTATGATAATGTTTTCATGGCATGCAAGTGTGTATGTGTGAGAGAGACACAGAGAGAGAGAGAGAGAGAGAGGGAGAAGGAAGAGACAAAGTGCAGATTTTCCCAAATGAGGGTCATGACCCTAAAGCTTAGTAGGTCAGAGTTGAGAATTTGAAAAAAAAACACCCAAACTTTCCTTTTTCCTTGGAGTGGGGACCAAATCAAAGAATGGCTACAACACAGTCTGCTCTGCCCTCGGTTTTACAACACAGTCTGCTCTGCCCTCGGTTTTCCTGTTCTCAGGAGGGTTTTTTTACTGTCTATGCTAGAACGAAAAATGTGAAACCTGGTAGCTCATTACAGTTTAGGGGATGGGATGAAGATGTTTTTCACAATGGTGGTTCTTGAAACATGCTTCAAAGTGCAGTGGTGCCCCTCCATAATTCAGTGCTCCCAACTCTGTCACGACTTTGCTGTGCAGCACTGGTGCTTTGGTCATTGACTCTGTTGGCACAAGAAGAGCAACTGCACAAGGTCTTTGCTTTAACAATAAATTAAGCCCCCACAGCCCAGTAAGCGGAAGAAATTCTTAGAGCTCTGGTGGTAGCAAGGGCAGTAGGGGCTTCCCAAAACTGGGAGAGACACACATTGCGAGCCCATCTGGCAACCAGAGGGCAATTGCCATAGATGTCCCAACCACTGCCTTCCCCGTGCTACTTGCTCCAGCAAATTCTGGTGGTTTTTAACAAATGTAGGTTTTATAATGTTTGAAGTGAGGATTGAAACAAAGGTCTGTGGACTGGACATTCAAAATACTGTTGTTTGAATTGCCTAAATAAGGGTTCAGTTGCTTACTTTTGGCACACTATTAATCTTTCTGGAGTAACCTAGCACAGTCTCTGAGCATGTGAGAAGTAATGTGGTGGTTGTTTGCTCAGAAGTATGTATGCAGCTTCCAAGAAAGCCAGCAGGGCCACACATGTGTGTTTGTGGGAAAGAATTCCCATCTCCCATGTAAAACACATAATTCTTGTACATTCACTGGAGAGACAATCCACCGTTCCCTATCCATCAAAATGCTTTGTGCTAAGTGGTGGGAAACAGTCTGACAAATGGCAGGTGATTTAAAACTCCTTTGTTGAAAATTGATGGTTATTCCAAGAAGTGGAATCAATCAGAGTGCATCAGATGCTGATGCAAGACACAAACATCTGACCTATGTAATAGACATGAAAAGAACGTGATGTATGAGCCAGCAGGGTGAATGCGGATTGTGGGTCACACCTCATGCCAGGTGTGTCCCAAAACAAAGCGAAGTCTGCAGATCTGAGCAGCCCATTTCTGAGCTGACCAGTGGATAATGTGTAAAAAGGGTGTGGTGGGACAGGGTTACTGCTTCATGCATATATTGAGGACATTCACTCTTTGTCCAAATAGATACCTACATTAGACAGACTTGATTGTGGTTGGGTGCTTCATTGTAGGAGGGAGCTGCCATGGTTTTGCCTAAGTCCCTTCCTCCTCCCCCACCCTCCCACCAAGTTTGGATTTATTTAACTGATGCAAACCTCAATGACACCTTGAGTGAGATTTAAGTGGTTGCACTTTACTTTGCATTGCAAGGGCCTGAAAGCACCATGATTCTGTAACTCAGCAGAAGGGAGCAGGTCTTTTCCCTGGAGACAGCTACTTCCCTCTGAGGTGTATTATCTTTTTTATCTGCTCTCAACAGTTTTCTTACAATTGGTAAAATACATTCTTCTTTCATTTTAAGTAAATGGTTTAAAGTGATTTGCCTGTTTAGGATAATTTATGCTAATCTGAAGTAGCCATATTTCTAGACAAAATAATACCTAACAACTTCTTCATTGGTTTAATGAAAACTCTTTATAAAATAAGGCAGTAAACCAAACAAAAAAATCCCTGGCAGCAAATACGGGAAAACCTGTAAATAACACTGTGCTTGTTTGCACTTTGCAAACAAGTACTTTGTTGCCTTTCATAATACAGTAAAAACATACTCATGTTTAAAGAACTACAACAGAATTGAAGGCTTCAGGATATAGTGGGCTGGAAAACAACCCGTGATGCTGCTGAGAGGAAATACTTCTATTTCTTTAAATAAAAGGGAGAATGAAAAATGCTGTACAGCTTGAAATTGTGAGTAGAAATTGCAGAAAATTACGATGTGAGTGTATGCATTTGTTGGTGTTGACTCAGAGAGTCTTTTGGCTCTTTAGTGGCTCACAGCTGGAAAACGTTTAGAGATAGGGAGCCTTGTTATTAGTTTCTCCTATCATGTCTCATGGGTAACATCAAAAATACAATATGGCTTTATTCCGCTTCGTCACTCCATTAGGTTTCCATTTAAACTTCCATCTAAGCACGAGCTTTAAAACAGAGCCTTGATTTGCATATTCTCCTGTACTACAGCAAAAGCTGTGAGAACTAGTATGAAAACACAAACGCAGGTTTGAATTATGACCATTTTTAGACGATTCAATTAGCTGCTAATAGGTGTTCACAGTGGTATGTTGTAATGGGAAGTCAGGTTGTAGTTAATGGTTACCATAAGTTAGAAGGGTGTTAAAAACAGCCGTCCTGTTTGGCTCAGCCATACAATCAGAGCTCTGTCTTATGAGTTAGCATGGCACACTGAACAGGCAGGAACCTGGGCTTTAGCTGGTAATTTTATTGCTTTCCCTATAGTGCTCAGTCGATATGAATAGGATTGGCTCTGTGGAACTGTGCAAAGAAGAGCCCAATTAACCCCTGATGATCCTCTGGAGGAATTTTGCATTCCTGTAGGGTGCTTGTTACTGCAATTATGTTTTCCATTATGGATTTTCTTTGGAATGTGTAATTTGCACACAAGAATCAGATAGCAGCGAGCATAACTTAGTTCATCACAGGCATGAAGAATGAACTCGTTGATGGCTTAGAATATTAAAACACAGTAGCCACAGCAGAAATTTAGGGAAATTTAGGGAGACTCATCATCTGATCCTTCCATCTCTGCCACATTTCAAAGATAATTTCACTATTCTGCCCAAACACATGCTAGTGTGTTACAGAATGTTCTGTCTTAGTCAGGATATTAAGTGACACATGATTATGAAAGGAATGGATATTACATTAAAAACACAGTGTAGAGACAAATATATGAGGGTATTAACCATTGCAGGCACATTCACATATCAGCATGTGTAAATACGGTGGGGGCGTGACTTGCAATATGTCTGGTACTGAATCTGCTGATCCTACTAATTACTATTTACTTTTTGTATTACAACAGCATCCAGAGATCTCAATTAATGTTCAGCTGGACTTCTTGCTGCACATGTGTAGCAAAAGGCAGACATTGGCCCAAACAGCTTCCAGTCTTTCCAGATGGCATAAATGAACAGGGATGGAGACAGGAGCAAAAAATTTAAATTTAGCCAAGGGTGTGCCAAGCTGAAAGTGTGATCCTCCAGTCTGGGTGAGGTGTCTGAACTTCACAGGTGATACATGGAAAGAATAAGGCATTTAAGGCAAGGAAAGGCAGCAGTTACATAGCACTATGCCAGCTTGCTGGTAAAATATAGGGAAGGTTTATTCCTCAGAACCATCATTTTCCCCAGGCAGAATTTAGAGCCTAAAGACCTTTCCTGCAGCCAAATATCACATCGTGTCCCTAGATGCAAGCTCCAGCCAAGGTTAGGGGACAGCAGGCTGCATGCACTACCACTGCTGGAGAGCCTCCAAACTTGAATCTCTCAAATGAGCATCCAGGAGTGAGAGGGCATCTGCAGGAGATGAGAAGTGATGCTGTTTCTCAGCCCATCTAGTGCATTTCACCCAGGACAGCACAATGAGGAAGATTTGGAGAGCAAAGAGTGAGGAGATTGGAAGCTCCAGCTGTGCTCATCCTCCCTCGTTCCAGACATTTTTCCTCCCCCACATCCCATTACTGGAACAGAGTTCTTGGGGCAGCCTACTGAAAATGAGTGGAGGGCCTTACAAACTGGAAAACATGAATATTGAAATAAAAAGTTAGTGAGTGAATATGCCAGAGGCGAGAGGGGGAAGACTGAGCAACGTGCCTGAGAGGCAATTTAGCAGGGAGGGGCCAGGCCTAATTAGGATGAGGAGGTGGGTCAAGCGACAAGAGTAGCGCTGAGCATGCCTCAGGCTGAGCCTCGCTTTCAACACCTGGTTTATTAATACACAGAGAGCAGTGGCACTGGGTATGGGGAAAGACTGGGTTTGGGGTGTGGTGGTGATCTTCTCTTCTTCCTTCCTTAAGCAAAGATGTCCCATGCAGCCAGACCAGCACAGATCTTCAGCTTAAGAGGCAGCCATGGCAGGGTTTTTAGTTGCACAATTGCAGGCCATGAAGTTGCATGTAGGGACTGACTGTACTGGTCAATCCCTGTAGGGATTGACTGTAGGTGGAAGTGCTTTTACAGAATATTTCTTAGGGGGAAAGAGGGGAAAAGCTCTGTGAGTTCTGGACCACAGTCCTGACATTCAAAGCTGAAGACTGGGTTGTATTGCTAGCTGTACATCCACGAGGCTCTGCCACAACTAAAGCTGAGACGAGATCACCTGTTTCCACTGGAAAACATAGGATTTAGATGTATTGCAGCTGCAAATGTAGATGCCATTCATGCTGACTCTACTTGGCTGGGTCAGTGTTTGAGGCATGAGCAACCTATGTATATGCAGACTTGCTTGCATTTTGATTAAAAAGAAAGCTGGTCTGAAACATGTTGCATCTCTTCAGGCCCAAAAAGTGGCATGTAGAAAGAAATGGGCTAAAAGTCTAAAACAACAACAGCAAAGCCCCTGTGAACTTGCAGCCGTCAGCATGAATGAGCAGACAGTAGCTACAAAGCTCTTGTCCACACAGAGAAATGGGAGAAGTTGACAGATCATTCTGCTCACTCACTGTTCCTGCTGTGAGATTGCTTCTTTCTAAAATTTCTGATGTGGGGGCTCAAGGGCTTGTTGCTTCATCTTAATGTCACTTAATATGACTTTGGTCTCAGAGATTTGGAAATGCTGTTGTAGCTTTCAGGGCTGGTTAAAATACAGCCTGGAAGGACTTCATGAATGCATTTGGAAATTTTTGGAACAAAGCCTAAGGAGGTAGTTTAGCTCTGTGAATGTTGAGAGGGCCACTTACATTTCAGAAAGCTTCACAACTGGTTTCAAAGGGGATATTAAAAAATTTGAGAAGGTTCAGGGGAAAGTTACAAAAGCAACCGAGTGAAAAGAAACAAACCGAAAAAAAAAATTCCCTCACAACAGCAAAAGATGGGAGGGGAGTTCTACTTATTTAGCTTTCAAACCAGTCCCTTGCCACAAGTTAAAGATGCCTCAGTAGGATCAGCGATGCAATAGGAAGGGCTCTGCAGTTCAGTAGACTTGTAACAACAATATGTTGTTGGCCTTGAGCTGGAGCTAAGCAACTTCAGACTGAAAACCACGTCCACATTTTTAACAGTGAGGGTGATTTACCATTGGAACAGCTTACTAGGGACTGTGGTAGATTTTCCATGATTGCATGTTTATTGTGGTTGTTGTTCAACCACAGCTATGGAACTTCAAATAAGAATTACTTAGCATAATCTTATAGTCCATGTTGCTCCAGATGCCAGACAAAATGATCTCAGTAAGTCCCTCTGGCCTCAACATCCAAGCATTTGTGTAGGATGGGAAGTTTGTTCCTGCATCCTAGAACAACAACTGCCACAGGTGCTGACGTGGCTCCTGCTGATGTTATGGAAAGCAAAGACTTGCAAGGGTTTGAGTCTCCAGGCATTGCACCTCAAATCCAAATAAACCAACCAGGTCTGAGGGGGACTGTACTGAATGTGGCATTGAAACATAGAAAAACTGCACTTAATCAATGTACTCCTGGGTAGGTGTGCCACCTGCAAGCTGGAGCGGTGTTATCAAGATCTCTAAAGAGTGTCTCTGGTACCAGGAGAATAGGTTTAGTCTGGAAGACTGTTAAGAAAAGGAGTGAAGCCCTCAGAAGTGAAGTTGACTTTGCGCAGCTCTTGCTCTGTTCCACAAAACTAGTGCAGCTGAAACGAGGCTGCACAGCTCTGACAGGCAGGATGAAACACTGAAGACTTTGATCAAAAAACAATTTCACATTTGTGTCCCACCCCTTTGGACCTAGTAGCGGAGTCAGAAACACTCCTGAAGAGACCCAGGCAGGAAATTTCTGCATAGCTTGTCTTTCTGAGCCAGAATCTCATTTACTGTTTTCTAAGGAGAGCCCTTTGAGCTTCTGACAGCCTTTGAGATCACTGGAGGGTGACTTGGGACTGTGGCCCTCAGGTTACCATCTCATTTTACATATACACATATCCTTAGAGGGGTAGTATTTGAAAGGAAAAATGGCACAAAGTCTTTGAAAGCAAAGCTGCAGAAAAATTTTATCTTACAGTTCAAATCTGCCTTTGAAGCCAGAAAACTCTGACCCGCTATGGCACTGTGCAAACAGCATCTGATATTATTCTTCAGCTGGCCACAGCATGAAGAGGGACAGATTGCACACAAATGGGTATTGCCTGCAAAGTTACACTTGCCTGCAACAGTGACAGTGGATGCAGGCTCCTCTGAAACTTTCATCTGCCCGGCTCCCCTGCCTTTCCACACAAGCTGCCCTTCGTGGTGGCAGTCTCGGCAAGCTGCAGGGCTGCAGCAACAAAGCGGAGGTCAGCGAGCTAAAGCAAACAAGCCCGCACACATCCATGCTCAGCAAACCGCCTGCCAGGGCTTGAGGCAGAGACCAGCACACAGCTGGTGTGCTGACAATTCTCTGCTTTATTCTGCTGCATTACAGGGAGACAGAGTCCAAATGACGAGAGGGTGAACAGCTTGTCTCCACACTGGAGTGTCTGAGGGTGAATTCAGAAAGATTTCTGCATCTTGGGGTTTGTATCAAGAAGCAGGACAGCTGGAAAAGGTATTGGAGCAAATACATTCTCATCAAAATAGTTGTGCTCCTGAGGATGTTAAATCTTCTTATAATCATTTATGAAATCAAAGACTGACTTCCTTTCTAAGTGGAAAGTTGCTTTCACCAGATGGGGGTGGGAAGCAGGGGACTGAACCTGATTAAAAAAAGATCACCATTAAATGCCATTCTCCAGGAGAGAGACATGCTGAAATGAAAGAGATTTATGTGTGAGATTTAAAGTGTCCTTGGTGTGGGAAGTCTATGCCAGAGGAAAGTTTGTTTGGTAATTACACTGGGAATACAGGAAGGAAAGACTAATTCCTGTGCTATAAGGGAGGCACGGGTTGACAAGTACAAGAGAAGTGCAGGAATCCACATATGATTATTTATTAAGGAGTCCCATCTAGGTGTGTATGGCTGTGTGCAGTGCAGACCAAGAGAAACATGTGGAGACGTAGAGCACAAATTCCTCGTGCCTACAGGGAGGTAGAGAGGAAAGACTGATCATGTGCGATTAGACACCGAATGCTGGCTCTCAGGAAACAGGGGGTCAGTTCCTGCCTTGGCTGCAGGCTTCCTAGGGCTAGACATTTAATATCTGTAGTCCTGGTTTCCCATCTGTAAGAAGGGAAGAACATTTCTTTTGGCCTTATTTGTTTTGGTTGTAAGATCAAGAAGAGAAGTCTCTCTCCCAGCGCATGCATGTGCAGTGCCCAGCATGATGGGGGCTCCCCTTCTCCTTCGAGCTGCTCGGTGTTATGTTGATAGCAGGGAATAAAGGGGAGGGAGAGACTGGGAACAATGCTAGGTTATCAAGAGAGTCTTTGCCTCTGGCAAGGCAGAGAGCTGTGTTTCTGACAAGGAGGGATATGGAAGAAGATGGAGGTTAAGACAGGTAGGAGATAAAAGGCTGGGATGGGGAAGTAGCTGAAGCTGAAGGCTGAATCTTCCAAGTCCATTGAGGGATTATTTTGAGGGAGAGTATCAAAATCTGAAGCCAGCCCTTGTAGATGAAGCTTGGTAATAGCTGTGTTGCTATAGCTCATGAAGCCCTTGCCACTTTATATTAGCAGTACAAGGGTGGGATCACACCCTGTGGGAAGCCAGGAGAACACAGGGCGCATTCTCCATTAGGAAGGGTCTTTTGGCTAGGTTCACTGTGGTTGTCCTGCCATGACTGTTTCCCCTGATATGATCCTTGTTGTTAGGGAAGTAGTGCTTCGGGGCATCAGGACATTGAGGCAGACTAAAGCCGTGTGAAAGGTGCCTGGGATGAGAGACTCTTCCCATCCACAAAGACACCAGAGGGATCTTATCCTGGTCAGGTGTCTTGGGCTGTTTCCAGTTCAGGCTTGATCTATTTCATTGTGGAGTTGGCAGTTTCAAAAGGGAGTTATGTGATACTGTGGTGTGAAAAGATTGGTGAGGGAAGAATGGAAAGGAAAAGAGTTAGCCACAGATGTGCTCCTGGGGTGTCTCCAGACTGCTCATCACCACAGCATGGGCTTCTCACAATGCTTGTGGAAGGACAGGGGTATCTGAGAGTCTCATGTCAGATGCATGGTCCAAAAAAATGAGTAGCCCACTCCAGTGTGTGCTCTATATTGGAATTCTGAGTCTGGCCTGCCTGACATGGCTCTGTCAATGCCCATGGTTTGTCTGACATTGGAGATAGGCCCCTCTCTGTCGAGGGAATGTTGATGATTGTTATTATTTCTAATTTTTTTTAAAAATTAGTGTACCAATGTCCCATTCAAATCTTAATTTAGAACTCAAATACACCTTCATTTGTAGGGAAAAAAGAAATCTTAGGAAAGAAAAATGAGAAACATAAAAAAATTATTCCTCAGGTATTTCAGAAGTTTCTAATTTGCCTTCTTTTCTCTCTCTCCCCCTCTCTCTCTCTCTCTGAAAGACCTGCCTAGTTATGAGTTTGAGAGTCCCAGGACTTGTCTACACAGGGAAATTTATCGGCCTAATTATGCCAGTGTAATCAGGCTGATAAATTTGCCTGTGTATACAAGCCTTAATTTTAAAAGCTCCATTGTCTGTGAGTGCACTCCTAGTCCTAGTGAGCAGTTGTGTTTTAGGCCCCTGAACTGTGCTTGCCAGCTGTGGGCTGACTGCCGAAGCCTTTGACCAAGTTTCCTCATTTCAAAGCAGTGGGGTTCTTTGGATACTAAAAGCCTGTATTAAATTAAACAGGAAAGTATCAAAGGAGTCATATTTTGCTGAAACAACTTGCAGTTTCTTGTGAAATGTATTGACAAGGGTATATAGGTCACTGTTGCCTCCTGCTTGGTGGAATGTCAGACCTGCTTCCATCTGTGTCTGTCTCTGGTTGCTGGCTTAGCCACACAACTGGTACCACTAACAGATTCCCCTTTAGGCAAGGAATGAAAATTTTGTGGGTTTGAAGGTGAATACCCAGAGATCTTGTGGTATAGGTGATAAGTGCATGGTACAGGTGATACTCACTGTCACAGAGGTTTGCACAGCACGTGAATTCTCTTTTGTTACATGTGCTTGCCCTCTATGCAGTCACAGAGTCATTGTCAGGGAGGTAGAAAAACTCTGGGCAGTTTTGGCTCAGGCCTGATCACTTCTCCACATCTCTTTAAAAAAGTAAGAACCTGAATGAGTTAGACTCCATTACAAAATGAGCTGGCTGAAAAAATAGCCATTCCCTTCCCAAAAACAGGTACTGTCCGAAATAAAGGAATGAGTTGGTTTCCAGTTGCAGAGGAGTTTTGCTAATGGATGTTTTGTCCACTACCGAGGATTTGTAATTCTCTGGCAGAAAAACAGGAGAGAGCTCCCCAGGAGCATGGCCGTAAGAAACAAAGTTCTATTAAATGATATGTATTAAAATTAGTCCCAAGAAAAACGGGGAGGAAGAGCCTCTGAGAAAAGTTCCAACCTTTGAAAGGCTGAATTTGTGAATGATGATCCACATATTTGTGTTTCTTTTCCAGGGAGACCCTCAGGTGCATCCAAGTGCATGTAGAATTGCAGGCTGTCACCTACAGACTTGCACATTTATGCTTTGGCCCATGTGGTGCTTGTGCAGAGCTGTGTATCCTTCCCTCAGAGAACTTAGTCTGTTGGGTGTCTGCTCTGTTTTCTCCCTACTGGAGGTGTCCACTGAATTCCTGTGGATGGGTCTGGATTTAACTGATATTTACAGGAACATTTTCCATTTCTTAGGCTATTTAAGATGGCTTTGTGTTCAGGTGAAGCTTTGGGACCTGGTTATTTGAAGTCCTAAATTTGAAGTCCTGGTGGGCTAAGCTGGGCAGCCGCACAAGACGGGTCACATACAGGTAGTGGAGGAAAGGATGCATGTCTAGTTTAACCTTGAGCTTCCTCTAAATCACACCAATAGGCAGGTATTGATTCCCTTTAGCAGGAGCAGATATTTTCACATTTTCCATCCCTGAGCTGGGTAGGGTACCTCTGGGAATAGAAAATGTGAGCCTGACCCTGCTGCTCATGCACACGTCAGAAAGAAAGCACAGCTCATGCATCCCACCACCCATGCAGGGACACACTTTGCCAATGAATCAAATACCTCCATGAGCTGAAGACCCAGTGAAACCTGGTTTCCTTGTGCCTGTTGGGTGTACTCTTGTCTCGTGAGAGCACAGCTGGTCCTGCTGCCTTTCCTGCAATTACATTGCCAACTTCTTCCATGGGGATGTCTGTTTTCCAGACCTTGTGAGAACTTTGTGTCTCAGGAGGTGTTTGCCCCTCTGTCAAACTTGGCTGAAACTGGAAAACAGGTTGTAAAATTACTAGGGAGTCACAGGCACCCATGCCTTAGACACAGCCTGTGTGCATGATTCATCCATTTAATTTTCACAGGTGGTGCTGAAAGATATCATTGAGATGCAGATCCAAATTGTTCACAAATGCCCCGGTGAGTGCAACAGGACAAGTGGAAGATGAGAAACAACATGTCACTGTAGCAGACGGGCGTAGGAGGGGCACAAAGTAGCTGTTGGGTGATGGGGATGGTTATCAACGGGATTCTCTCAACGGGAAGCGCGTCCTCTGTGCCCAGGAATTTGAGAGCTGTGGGATGCCTGCTTTTGGAAAAAAAAAAAATAATTTTTTGCTACTGACAGGAGAGGGCACGTGCTTTTTGGAGTGCCATTCATCTTCCCAGTATGAGAAACCATTTCGTAAAGGAAAGAGATTACCTAACCGTGCCTTGGCGTTTTCCTTTGTCCGCTTATCTCACATTTCCTAGCCACTGATGGATAGGTAAAATCTCCCAGCCATGGCAGGATGGAGTGCTACGTATGTGGGTTGGTATGCAGAGCTGATCCAACAGGACTTCTCTGTGCTCCAGCAATGTTAATGTGTGTTATTGACAGAAGGGTCTAGCAGCAAGGTGCAGCACAACCTTTTTCACATGTGAAGGTGCTAAATGGAAACTTTTAAGCTTTTTTCACCACCATTTAAAAGATCCTCCTTCTCATCTGTTGCATACTGATAAGTTAAATAAGTTCTCGTTAACGAACTTCGGTTACAACTGTTTTTTCCGTTAAATTCTAACAGTCATCCTAAATTTCAATATTAGCAGATCTGGGGTGGAGGGGGGAAATCATGTCAGATGAGGCAGCAGAGTACTAAAAGCTTTCCCATAAACCTTTACAGTGACATAGGATCACCTGTCAAGGAATTTAGTGTATTTTTACTATTCATCATTCATATTCCTATAGCAGCCAGGTGCCCCAAGCAAGTCAGGATTCTTTTGGCCTACAAATTATATAAATACATGGTGAGAGGCAGCTCCAGGCCCAAACACATTACAGCATAAATATCCTGGCAATAACTGACTAACAGTTCTCTGTAACCTCAAAATAACTCTTTTGCTCTTGTGATAAGGTCAGTAATAGTCCTTCCCCAGGTAATTCCAGAACTAAAATTACAAGATGGTGTACTGGCGTTTTACTGGAGAAGTGTTTCAAAATTATTTTTCATTAAAAAGAATTCCAGTACTTTATCTATCTTTTTAGTAAGCCGGTGCAATGGAGAGATTTCTCTTTATTCTAGATGAAACAGCATCTGAGAATATTTGCTCTTTGAAAAGGATAGAGAAAATGTGAGTTTCTACATTTGAGCTGTGTAGGGCTCAAGACAATTTATTCACCATGTTTGGTTGAGAAACTATTTTTGTGAATCTCTTCTGCATAGCAATATATAAACTATCCTTTTTTGGATACCGTCCTTTTTTGACAGTATTTTTGCAATGAGTTAGTACTCAAAATCATAAGATACCCCCGGGGATTTTAATAAACTTTCTCAAACATTAAGACCCATGAAAATTTTGATGGTTTGTGTGATCTCATATTTGAGAGCATGTTCTGGGACTGTTTTTAAGCCCTCTAAGCAGTCTAACAATTTTATCCACACTGCAATAATGGTATATATTTACTTTTCCAAGCAAAATGTGTTGTTCCCTATAAAGTGTCTGCTACAAATTACAACTGTTAATTGGAACCAGTTTAAAAATACGATTTTAACCCAATTAGATTATTTTATAATTATGTGATTATTTCTTTATAGTTGTATTTGAACCAGGTAAAACACAGTTCTTAGTGGTCTTTTAGGCAAAGCAAGTACAATGAAAAATGGTACATGCACTTTATTTCTTACACAGTACAACTTTGCTCTGTTCCTGTGCTTTTCCACTAGTTCGTAGCTAGCACCATTCCTCACAGAACATTTTCACCCTACTTTTTCCTTGTAGATGTAAAACTTTGTTTTATTTTATTTTGACATCTGCAGCATTTTCCCTTCAGCTGCACAGCTTTTCACTGCAGCCAATGTGTCACATAACTTCTCTTACGCGTCTCCCAGAGTCCTGGAGGTCAGGCTGGAAAGTGAAAAATGCAGAGATCTAGGAATGGCTCAGCCAGCTGAAAGTTACGGGAAGGGAAAGGCTCCAGTTTCACTGAAGGGAAGGGAAAAAAAAAAAAAAAGAAGAGGAAGAAGAATGGCTCCTTTCAATGCAGACGGAGGCAGTCTGGCTGAGAGTCAGTGAGGTTTAAAAATCCAAGTGGTCCAATAACTGAAAATCTGTATAGATTCAAAGCAATACTTTAAATACTGAACAAGTGCAGATTAAAAAAAAAAAAAAGAAAAAGAAAAAAAAAAAAAGGTGTGATGGCTTTTCCATTCTCTTGGTGCATATAGCCAACCAAACAGTATTTCTTTTCCTCAAACTCTGAGCACATGTGGCTAAGTCCAGTCCATGTCGTCAAACGATGTCAGTGAAAATATCCTATTAAACTAACTCCTTCTGCCACTTCTCCCTGGAATGGCAGTGACAGGGAGCTGCTCCCAGCTGAAACCCCCAAAGATGTTCCTCATGTTATTTTGTTAAAATATAAGTGTTGCTGTTAAGAAATGGGTACTGAGCTGGGAGTCCCACAGGGCTGCAGCCATTAGCATCTCCAGGGGAACTGCTTTTGCTGACAAGGCCGATTTGTGATTTCATGACAAAGAAAATATCATGGTAGCTCAGGGCCTGAAGCACCTGGTTTGTGCAAAAAGCTGCCTCTCCTCCTCCTTTTTCATCCCTCTCCTATATTTTGGCTTTCTATGTCTGTCTCTTTGTCTGCCTTTCTCTTCTTTTATTCACTATTCCAGATCCTTCCCATCATACCAGACAGGTTCCAAAACGTTGTACGAAAATGTAGGGAGAGGGCAAAAGATCAGTGAGTAAAGCACTGAGTACTTACCTCTTAGAGCCTGTTATACTGTCAGCTCAAAGTTAAAGTGCAATAAATCTGGTGGTCTCACGTTGGTCCCCTGTGTGCTGCAGTCCACCTCATAAAACTACTACATAATTAAGTACAGTGCAGTACAATTGGCAGTCTCTGCTCAGCCCAGGCCTAGCAGCAAGCACATAAACCCACTCCTGGTCCCCAAAGGTGGAGGCTGGAGGTGACAGGGAGGTGGGGAACAGCTCTGGCTGCCAGTGCAGCTCTCCTGCCTTCCTGTGGGGATGGGGGAGAGGGCATTCCTGGTGCTGATACACCCCTGGAGTGCATATGTGCAGAGAAAGAGAAGATGAGACCTGAGAGAGCAGGTGATGCCTGCAGAGGAGTGGAAGCAGCCTGGTGAGGGTGGTTGGGTCGGGGTTGCATGTTGGCTGACAAGGACAGATCAGATGTGCTGGCTGGGATGACCTCTGGGATGAACATGGAGTGGTGAGCAGCTGCCTCAGGCAGGTGACAGCTCAGGAGGTGCTGGTGGCAAAACCAAGTGCTGGCACAGAACTTCCCGGGGTGGTCAGTCCTGCTGCCTGTGTGTGGGTATGGTGGAACAGCCAGTGCAGAGTGACGGCCCTGGGTCCCAAGGCTGTCAGAGCAGCACCTGCTGCAGATGCTGAATAATCCTCCAGGAGCAGAGGGAGGAAACAGGGAGCCTGGCTAACAGAGTTCCATCTTCTATCTTCCTTTGTTGCCTTGACTGCCTTTCCTCACATAAAGTTCCGAATATAACGCATTTCAAATTTTGCTACAGAAGCAGTTTTCCTGTTTGCAAGGAAGCCGTGCTGCCCAGGCTGTCTGAGATCTCCCTTATGTCTGTGCCTGGGGTATTTTGTGCCACTCTGCAGAGCTGTGAGGACTTGCAAAAACTCTGTCAGGGTCTTAGCACCCAACTTCTCTCTTTAATAGTAGGTTCTTCGTGACTCTGCAGAAGAGAGGTGTGTGGCTTTTCCAGTAGTGGGTTAAACTTCTTTAATTTTTAATTTTTTTTTTTAATTTTTTTAAATAAAAGAGGCAAAAAGAGAAGTGCTTAATCCTCAGCAGAACAGGTTGGTGAGCACCAGCAGCCGGGAGCGGCCACATCCTGCTGGTGCCCTCTAGTGCTGCGCTCTCTGCCTGCAGCCACCGAGCTCCAAAGCTGCCTGTCAGGGAGGGGATAGATGATTTTTGAACTGTATCTGCACACTTTGGGCCAGCAGAATCCACCAGGGGAATGTGGTGGTGCTGGGGGTGAACCTCTGCATAAGAACGCTCAGTCTTCATTGGCATTCATGGCGCTGCTGCTTTTCCCTCAGTGGATATGTGTTTTTCCCATGTCTGTGTCTATGCAGTGATTTGGCTGTTTTGAGTTTATCTGGGTTTAGTTTGAGCACTTCACTCTGCTAGCAGCCAATCCTGCTCTGTTTCATGCCTCGGGTGAATTTAATTTTCCAGGCTATAATTGTTCATAGAATCAGAGTGGTTGAGGTTGGAAGGGACCTCTAGAGGTCATCTGGTCCCAGCCCAGCTGCTCATGCAGGACCACCTAGAGCCAGTTGCCCAGAAGCATGTCCAGATGGCTTTTGAATACCACTAAGGCTGGACACACCAGAAACTCACCATTCCCATGTTCTGCTATCCCTCATTAAGAAAATGTTTCCTAAAGTTCAGAGGGAATCTCAAGTGTTTCAGTCTGTGTCAATACCCCTGGTCCTATCACTGGATTGCACTGAGAAGATCCTGGCTCAATCCTCTTTGTACCCTGCTATCAGGTATTTATATTCAGTGATGAGGTTTCCCCCGAGCCTGTTTTTTTAAGGCTGAGAAGCACTAAACATTCCTTCTTCACAGAAGTAGTGTGGGAATTGGCACTGATAGGTAGCTAAAATATTTTGGAAGGTTTTGATCTGAAAATTCTCAGTCTTGTGACGTGAAGCAACTAAAATCTATCTCTAAAAGCTCATCATGCTTCTGGGTTGGCTTGATCCACCCATGACTCCATATCTGCATCAAACTTTATGGCTGGGCTTCCCTTCACTGTAGATGGGACTGATTCACACTCCAAATATAAAAACCCCAAACACTGAGAGGTTCAAGATCTGCACTGTCAGTTCCAAAATGTATCCCAAAATATCATATTGAGGGCAGGACACTGGCCTTCCAATTCTTACAAGAAGATTTTATCCTGAAGGATATGGAGGAAACCAAAGTTACTGACCTGTTCATACAGGAAGGAAACTTTTTTGATCAAAGCCACTTTTGGTATTTGGGGAAAAGTAGTTTGAATGCTCAAACAGTAGATTTCAGCTGTAAAGCTTACAAAAGCCCTCTTCTGTCCATTTGGTTCACAGTAGGCAAATTCTGTCCATCGTGTGCTTTGACCAGATTCTACCAATGAAGTGATTATTTGTATTTCTACTATAATTTTTGTAGTGAGCTTTTACTAGATGGTCCTGGTTTTGGAAGCCTTTTCACAAGCTGGAGCACAGTTTCAAGCTCTGCTGAAACTCTGAATGAATGTTGGGAGCAATGGGGTGTATGGTGCGTACATGGACATCACCCACAGTGACTCCAGCCTATGTTAGCAGCCCTTGTTCCTTCACAGTACTTCCTGGCACCACCCTGACCTTCTCCCTGGCAGAGGTGCTGCTTTTTGACACAGGCACAGCAGGCAGCAGCTCCAGGACTGTTCCTTGCCGTGGGTCTGTTCTGGCACTGACGGGAGCCTGATGCTCCCAGTGTGAAACAGCTGCCTGTTGGATGAGCTCCGGAGCTGCACCTGGATAGAGTGACTTGTCACAGGCACCTGAGCTGGCTTTGAGTAGGTTTAGACAGCTGAGTGCACTGAGCTTCAAGAAACAAAATTAGGTGAGCTAGTCCCATTAGCACTGTGCTTTGCTGGAGCTAATTGGCCCCCAGAGGTTCCCCAGGTGAGCACATTTTGTGGCACCTCACAGGGATGACGTGCTGGGTATGGCTGTGAGGGGGGCAGGTGTGCTGCAGGTATCTGTGACAGGTGTGAGCTCCTCTACTTCCCTTGTAGAGATCCCAGGTCAGGAGAGGACAGACAAGAAAAAAAAGTGATGGTATCTTGCAAGACCGACAAGAGGGCTAGTTTTGTTTAGCAGGAGGTGCCAGAATGGTAATATTTGCTGTCTGAGTCCTGGATTTGGTTTGCTGAAACCGAGTGCTGGTGTGCAAATCTGAATTTTTCCAAATTGCCCTGGGACAGCATTGAGCCTGATCAGTGCAAACAAGATCAAATCACAGTATCTGTGTGAAGGGTTTCCTTGTTAAATTATAGTAGTCTTATACAGTTCTTGGATGAGATAATCAAACTCAGGCTGCTGAAGCAAAGGTACCCACCACAGCATTATTGCAATTTGGGACTGGAGCTAAGGCTCATTTAGGTGGTTTCAGTTCACTTTGGTAGCACAGAGCAAATTCAGACCAAGACAACGAAGCAAAATGTCTATTTGCCCTGTAGAAGTGATTGCTTTGGGCATTTCTTGCTTCCCTCTTCTGTCACGATACAGTGGACATTGCTGTGGAAAAGGGGTTGTAGTAAAGGTTGCCCCAGAAAGCCAAGGACCTCTTGGTCCTTGTCCAGGTTCTTTTGTATCTGAAGATTGCCCTAGGGCAGGAAAAAGTTTATGTGTGCATACCTCTGGCTTGTGAGGGTGCACAGCCTCTGGACTGAGCATTGCAACACTTGATGTCCATCAGATTTTGAGTTCATCTATATTACAGATTACTTTAAGGTGTCAAGGTAAAGTGCAATATGAATTAACTGTACATTTAACTTTGGGACAGGGTTCCTTGCTCTGGTTACCGCAATCCATTCCCAAAGTGGATTCTTGATTAGTTCTTCCTGAAAATGACCCAGTAGAGAAATGTCTTTGAGATATCTGCTATCCTCTGCATGACTAAGAATCAGTGATAGATACATGTGACACCATTATCCTGTAACTGGCAGGATGAATTTCATGTTGGGCTAAAGAGAACACTCCCTGTAATTGGCCTAAAAGGTTTTATATGTGTGTGTGTGTGTGTTTGCGTGTGTGTGTGTGTGTGTGTGGTGGCTGAGTTTCCCTGTGATCCAGATCTTTTCAAGTTTACTTGACACAAAAACTCCATTATCAGTTCACATCTACTATAGTAATTTCATTCCTACTATTCTTAATAATTCCATGCTTTTTCTGGGAAATACCTCTGAAACGGTAGTTCTCACTGAGACAAACATGAACCCATTCCTTGATGGGAGATATGGGCAAGAGAGATGAGCATTTTTTAAAAGCAGGTTTGAAGGCATTCCATATTTCCTTTCCCATTTGATAGATGTCCATGTGGATACTAAAAGCATCATAACCTCCTTGGGCTGCTGCTCCAAGAAGTCAGAGTATGGCTGGCGCAGAGTGTGCACGGGGGAGCCCGGTACCTAAAAGCTGCCCTAAAAGCCAGGCTTTCCAACCCACAGACAAGGATTAAAGACCCCAACAGACAGGCAGGAGAGGAAAGTGTGCCATCTGAATGTTGCCCTGCTGGGTTTTTTACGCCTAGCCCTGAACTTCCTACCTCATTGGGTTGCTGGGTGTTTTTTTGGCAGGGCTCTCTCGCGACTTTAACATTCTTGTAATATGGTTTTTGTTGTGTGAATACTGCCACGCTGTCAGCCCGACACAGAAACGCCATAAATCTGGTGGTCTCGTGCCTGTCCCCCGTGTGCTGCAGCCCACCTCGTAAAACTGCTGCTTAATGAAGTACAGCTCAGTACAATTGGCAGCCCCTGCTCGGCGGCGAAGGCTGAGCACATAAACACACGCCTGCCACGCTTGTGCCGGGAGGTGCGGGCAGGGACCTTCCGCTGCTCAAGTGGGGAGAAATTTCTAAGCAGAGGGGACTGAGAAATCTCTTTAAAACTGTAGAAAAATGTTTTATAAATTGTTAAAAACCTACTCCTCTAATCACACGCCAGCGTTTCTGGGCCTTCTGGGGAGAGGACACCTTTCTTTGAATAAAGGACTGCGCATACTCAGAAATGTTTCGGAGTAAATTACAATGGGTTTGGGAAATGAAAATGAAAGAACGTTAATAAATTGCTAGTATGAAAAGAAAACAATACCTTAAGGTTACCCGGAGGCCTTGCTTCCATCTATCTCACTCACAATAAGTAAGAGATCATTAAAATTTATATTTTAATTTACTGCAGAGCCAATATCTGAAGGAACTTTACAAGCATTAATGTATTGTGTCTCCTACTGCTCTTAATTCTTTCTTTTCTAAGTATCCAAACAGAGTGTTGGAGAAGGTAAATGTTTGTAAGTTTTACACAGCAAATCATGGGTAGAGCTTCAGTCTCTTGACTCTTGCTGATGCTCTAAACCAATAAAAAGCCTTCATTGTAGACCTACAAATTGTGAATATTTTAATTAGGGCATTCACCCTCACATCCCTTCACAGTATTTTGCTTTCCATCTCAGCAGCAAGGCCATCACTGTGATGCCAATACTTCCACATACATCAACTTCTAATAAATCTCTGCAGTTTCTTGTCTGCAAGGGAGAAGTTACAATTGCTCCTCCTGTGAGGTACTCTGAGTCTGTTCACGCCCCATTTAGGGGAGGTAGGCAGTATCCATGCAAGCTGAGGGCACCTTGGGTTGGAGTTGGCAAAACCTGGCTGGCTTGAAGGAGAGATGGAGAAGGTGAAGGTCTTTGCAAGGGGCCCTGCTGACTGGTTTTGAGAACTGTAAAGCATAGGGAGCCAAGCTTATTCTGGATATTCAGAAATTCTGCATTTGGATGCCAAATTTAGACCTATGTCTTCTCTGAGCACAACCATTATTTGCATAAAAAAATTGCTGCTATTAAAATACGAAGATCTGAACAGTTGTGAAATTTACTTTCTCTTTGCCTTTTAGTGATCTATAATCAATGAATAACTGCTGACATGTGATTCTTACCATGAGCTTTTCTTCCCACCCTGCTGTCAATAACTCAAGCCATGAGCACTCTCCCATGCCCAGCCTTGGAGGCTCTCAGCCGTAGTCACTGAAGAAAACCAAGAGCAGACAGCAAGGAAGGGCTGGCTGGTGTCATCAGGCTGGAGAAGGCATTGGTTGAACCACCAGGTCCTGGAGATGCAGCGGTGGAGGCAACATAGGAACTGTGGTCCTGCTGTTAGCTCAGCTTCTGTTTCAGAGTCTTTTTCATTCTTCACATGAAATTCCTTCAGCATCAATGAAGACTTTGCTGTAACAATAACAACAGAGTAGTTCCCAAAGCCACTGGCATGGGAATTCTACTTAGTTACAGCTTTATTCTTTGTGAGGTCTCCAAGGAAGACAATTGTTTTCTTCTGTCTGATGTTGGAGGTGGAGATCTAGGGACAGGCTGTCGATTTCCTTCACCTTCTGGTCTTGGTGGTAAGGAAAAGATCAAGGCCACTGTTTTCCTCTTGCTCTAGTTTCAATGCAAATGCATTCAGAATTTACTGAGCAAACAAAAACTTTAGTTTCCAGTGCTTGTTCAAACAGATGCTTTTCAGACCAGCCCACACCAGTGGAAGTAAAAAATACCTGTTATGAGTACAGCTGTACACATCCGTAAAACCAAAGGAAAAAGAAGAAGCTGTTTAGTTGACTGAATATGTTTTTGCACATTAAAGCTATTGCAATTTCCTTGTTACAGAGACAGAGTAAAACTACAACGGGAAGAAAAACTCAAGGCCAGTGAGGTATTTAGCATAAGGACTCCACAACACGTCAGGCAATTGCTTGGAGCAATTCACATTCCCCCTGTGCTGCACTGTGATTAATGCAAAGCCCTCAGAGAGGAAAACACTTTGTTTCGGATCTTGCAGGACTGGAGAGGGATGAGGAACAAGTAGCACATCCACCAGCCCAAAAATGGTAAACCAACACTGGAACTTGTTATTTCTGTAAAACAATGCTTGCTGATCCTGTGTGACAGAGATGAAAAATCAGATTAAGAAGATTGAGAATAGTCAGGCAGCATTGTAAGATGTGCACATGGTTTAGTGCAAAAATTGTGAGGAAAATACGGTAGCTAGGATTTGTTTTGCCTTTTCATTAGAAAGGAAAAATGTAACCAAAAGGTGGTTTTCTTATGTTGTCCTGTTGGTATGAACACACAGGAAGTGACCCAGATGATGAGGCCAGAGGCAAGGATAAAAACTGGGGTGAAGGTACTGTGAAGGCCTTCCCTGGGATAATGGCTGCTGTGACATTGTGTTTTGCCACTGAACATGTGTCCTTCTCAGCTATATCCCAAGCACTGTGTTGTTGATGAGCTGCCAGCACCACACACAAGCCAAAAGCTGCAGTGCAGGCACAGGTGTGACGCTGCAAGGGCACTATCAGTCACCAGCACTGATATCTGACCATGCAGGAGGAGGTGTGGAGCCTGGAAGGGATTCACAGGGAACCTGCCCAACCATGCTGGGATCAGAGCCGGTCACACCATGAAGTGCCTGTGCTATCTGCCATGGACAGTGGCTTAATTGTGTCTGGATTTTAGTGTCCAGGCACTGACATCCACTGGAAACTATCCTAAATGTGAACCGTTCCCTTGAACTTTCTCCTGGCCTTAGGTTTCTACTGCACCAGATATACCATTTCTACCTCAAAAATGCCTAGCAGATGCTTCATTAGTAGCCTGGATGACAGAATTATCATCATAATTTCATCAATTTTCTTTCCCTACAGTATCAAGCCCCATCATGGGATGAATTCTGCCAGTGTAAAGACAGGCAGCATCCTTGCCTCACAATCCGGTTACGAAAACAGAGTATCAGATCATCTGGGCCCAGCATGGCCTGTCAGTCTTCACTCTGGCTGCGTTCCCAGTGGATGCCTGCCCTTTGTTCACTGCTCCCACGCTCCTGTCAGAGTGGGCGGGTAAATGACTCAGATAAAATTTGACAGACTGGTAGAAACCTGGTGTAGGGGTAATTCAAGACAGGGACTTTGGGGAGTCTCTTCTGCCGTGGAACATCCGCAGATGTGGCAGACAGCTCTGTGAGAATGCTCTTTCGCCAGCTTGCTAATACTCTGGCTAGAATTCAGTATTCACTGACCTCACATTTTCTTACTTGAGATTAATCTTGACTTCAGAAAAAGTTGTTGAAAAAGAAAAGGTAGCTCTTCTTTCTAATGCTGGATAGCAAAAAAAATATTCAACCACAGGGACCAGATCTTCCACTGACAAAAGTCAACATGAGGCCATTGTCCCAATTTATTGTTATGGTCTGAATATATCTGGGATGTGGAAGAATTTTTTTGTGTTATATGGAAAAAGTTGCAGTCAGTGGCAGAAGTCCTGTTTAAAAAAAAAAAAAAGGCACAACAAAAGAACCCAAAACACATGTTCCAATTTACAGGTCAGTTGATATCCTCCCCTGAGGCTACCTTAATTTCTAGTTTGGGAATGTCAATAAATCAATGCCACAAGCCATCAGTGAGGCAGTATCCAGCAGAGCAGCTGCCATGTAAATACCATGCTCACAATCCAAAAATTTGGAGCCAAAAATCTCTCAGTACATTTTCTTACTTCATTAGTTTCTGCTTTACATAAAAATAGCTGTCCTTTTTGCAATGACTAATTGTGTCTGTCTTAAGATAGATACGTCTACGTGATATGTTTGTTAAGCAAAGCAGATGAGATATGATCCTGTATGGAACCTGTAATGTAATTATATGTTGTTTTTTTTTTCCTTGTTAATATATGTTTCATTCTTAAAGCACAGATTTTGTGCTTGTTATGTGTAGCTGCAGAGGCAGTAGATAAAGCAGCATCATTACACCACCAAAAAATAGCGATGATTTTATGCGTATCCCTCACAGGACAATACTCTGCTGTGATTAATAGAGGGCTGTAAAACAAATAAGGCTCTCTTGAGAGTAGACTTTCTGCATTTTTCTGTGTGCATTTTTCACTCTAAGCAGACTGGCTATAAAATGCTCTCTTACTGGATCCTTAAGGTTTCATTTTCCTCTAATTTGTGCTGAATGCACATGAGCAGGTGAATACAAATTGCTACCATGACTGGACCCCTGCCATCCACTGCATCTGCAGAGAGGCAAATGTCTGCATGACCTGCAAGGCCTGGTTTGTGTAGGCAGGGGGGACCTGGGCAACAGAGGTCCTCCAGTGCACCCCAAATCTTCTTGTCCCAAGAAGATAAAAACATCACAAAGACGGAGAGTTGGTTCACAGGGGAACATCAGATGTTCTTCAGACTTCAAAGGCTAACAGAGTGCCCTCTCAGATCTCAAAAAAGATCTGTTACTTTTGAAAACTGAAATGTCCAGCTTCAAAAAGGTATTCTGGGGCACTGCCTGCATGGTATCTGTCATGCTGGATACTTCCTGTGGTGATTGTAAACTAAACAAGTAGTTCCTGGTGCAGAGGAACCAGCACAACCTGGTTTCCTGCTAACCTGTCTCACAAGGTCTCTTCCCCTCTGGATTCTGTCTCACAAAAAGCATAAGATAAAGCTTTTCCCTTAGGGGAGACATAAAGAACAATAAACACCTTTCTCCTCTTGCTCACCAAGGTACAAAAAATCTTGAAGTACTGGAGACTGTGTCTGCCAGTGTCAAATCTGGTCAAGACAACTAATGAGAGTCAGGAGTGGGGAACAGAAACAGACAGACACAGCATGACTGCATAGACCTTGTTTCCTTAGGAAACTGGGCTCAAAACAAAGCACACAAGTCGGCTGTATTTATAGTGAAAGAGGTGGGGGGCTTTCCTTTCCAGAGGAAATGCACTGCATTTCTGGGCCTGATCCTCATTTTACTGGAAGCTACATCAGTTCACGTTCCCTGCAGATCTTGTCCTGCTTTCCGCAACCTGGAAGCCCGTAGAAGATCTGGAAGAAGTTAGCAGTGCCTGCAGAGGTATCAGAAGATACCTCAAGCACTTTAAATGAACATTAATCTAATTAATCTAATCTGTATTAATGCTATGTATAAGATAAGTCACTTGATATATAAATGACCATAGAATGGGACCTTAAAGATCATCCCATTCCAACCCCCTTGCCACGTGCAGAGACAACTTCCACTAGACTAGATTGCTCAAAGCCTCCTCCAAACAGGCTTTGTGCATTTCCACAGATGGGTGCATCTACAGATTTTCTGGGCAGCCTGTTCCTGGGGGTGTTTCACCACCCCCACAGTAAAGAATTTTTTCCCATCATCTATTCTAAGTCCATCCTCTGTCATTTTAGAGCAATTGCCCTTTGTCATGCCACTACATGTTTTTGAAAAACGTCCCTCTCTGGCTCCATTGTTGGCCCCCAAGAGTCAGGCACCTGAGATAAATATCAGCAGAAGAGAAAGGACCATAATGGAGACAAGCTGCCCCTGCTCCATCCCATACTGCAGCTTAGCAAGCACTAACATATTACCCGTTCCAAATTTCCACCTTTTGAGTGGTATGATGGTAGCTGCTTGTAAGAGTCTGGTGTTCCCTTTTGCAGGCAGGAAATGAAGAAAGCAGAGGGAAAGACTGAGGCAAAGTCAGCCCAGACTGGGTAGAGACCAGGCATATTGTTTCTGCTCTCAGAATAGAAGATGCCTCCCAAATGAGAGAAGAACTGTATGAGCTAGAAGAGACAGTATTGTCCAATGAGCTAAAGCACCTGGACATGTAAGACTTTGTGCTCTACCACAAGTTTGGAAGTCTCTACATGCCTCAGATGCAGCTCAGCCTCTCAGGGAAGCCAAGTGATGTGTAGGTATTGGGATACTGAATACCAAAGACACCTAATAAACCTGGTCCCTGACAATGAAACATTGTTGTTGATTTAAAATTCATTGGACTTTGTATTTCAGGTTCTTGTGTTTAAAATTGGCTGTGCAGTGTTGTACTCTTAATACCCAAACCGGGCTTATGTTACAAGTTAAATGTTATGAAGTATATTTTAAAGACCTGTAAAATACAGTAACTTGTTATATAGCTAAACTTTTATTATTTGGTCTTTCATCGAGAAGTATTTGAAAATCCAAAAATAAAATGTCTTTCCTCCTTGATTCACTGATTACAAATGCAGATTTGATTAAAACTGTCTACCCTGGCCGATTCTGTGTGTTTCTTGACAGCCCCCTATAGCCCAGACTGCATAACTGACTATAAGTTTTCTTTTCAGTGGGTGGTTTCCAAAGGTTAAACATTCTGAGATATTTTTAACCTGTCACACTACCTTCTCCACTCCTCATCTTGCAGTCTTACCTTCCTCTCCCCTCTATGGAGCTGAATGTGAGATAGATCATTTCAGTTCACCCCAATCTCATGGAATTCCATGGTGATTCTGACACAAGCTTTTCAATAAAACAAAGCAAAAGAATTGTTTGAATTTCTCACAGTTTAGTCTTGCAGCAGCATGTGCAGACCTGTTTCTGTGTTTTAAGGTAGTCATTGTTTCTCAATGTCTGTTTTAAGTCCATGACCAGTACACATCCTTAACCACAATTTATTTGAGATTTCACCATGAAACTTGTCCAAGATTTACTGACTTGTACTGTCACCAGTACAATTATATTGTGGTGTTTCATGAATGTCTGTGGAATTACCCCACTTGCTATGAATAGTAGCAGAGTACAGAAGAGGAACTCTGTGTGGTTGTGAGCAAAAGTTAATAAAAGTTGTATCTTCCTCTTCCTTTTGTGGCTATTGTTCTTCCTGACACTGATTTTTTTGTTGCCTTTCATTAAGACCTATATAAGAATTAGCAGTCTGATTACCTTCCTTTGCATAATGTCATGCACTTTATGTCTCAGAGGGGAGTCATGCTGGCTTTTGGCAGTGGAAGTGCTAACACATTCTGAGAACAGAGTCACAGAGGCAAGAGAGCAACGTGCTTACTTTTGCTCTGGGTCTGAACACATCTCCGTACAACCCTGCAATGAAGATAAATACAAAGGTCTGACACCTCTCTTGCTTCTCCTGGGCTAAGTGGGAAGAAGCCTTGTAGGAGTCAATGCAGTTGCAGGAGTGCAAGTGAATTGTAAAATTGCAAGGCTCAGTGTTTTGAATTTTGCATAAAAGGTGTTTTTAATAGCCTTCAGTTTTCTTGGCATGAACTGCACTCATGACTTAAGACATCTGTGGTGGGCTGAATTTATGCTGTGCGCCAGTTTCATCCAAGTGGGATTTAACGCATGACTTGTAAATGTTCACACATGTGTCCGCTGACCTCTGCTGTGCAAGTGCCACTGGAGTCAAACAGGACATTAGTATCTGTGAACCAAGGTGCTTTCTAGAACTATTAGTGTTGGCAAGGCCAAATACAGGAGCCTTGTACAGCCCCTAGTGCAAAACATGACTGGAAACACACGATCCACACCACATTCAACCTCTGCTGTCAAATTTGTGCCTGAGTGAGGGTGTGATTTATTGCAGTGACCAGGTTAATGTGTATGTCCATACTGAGGCTTGGAGTGAGAATAACAACATGTGGACAATAACAAAGGAGTTTCATTCACAGACAATAGGTTTGGAGCCTTTCAATAAAACACAGCACTGTGGATAAAAGGGGTATTTAGGAAGTTTCTGTGTATATGGTATTTGTGCTTTTGTCGCTGACTTACTTCCAATAAGACAAATAACAAGGAAATTACAACATTTTTATAACCAGTACAGTGAAAGGGTATTTAAAACCCCTTTTATTTCAACATCAAAGCATACATAAAAGAATGATTTGTTCTCAGTGGAATAACAAGACAAGACAGGACACTTCACTGTCTTCTAAAGCAAAGGGGTTTCTCTTGCCAAGAACCTGAAGAAAATAGGTCTGCTCAAAATGGTGAACTGATGCTTTTCAGCCTGTTAGCAAACTAATGCCCTCAATATGAGGAAGAGTCAAACCACTGTTTGTTTTGAGAGAGAATAAAGATTAACAAGGTAAATTACATGGAAAAGAACCAGAAATACTCACTTATCAAATGCATATTGTAATCAGGTTCATTCCTTTAGAAGCTTAAAGGAGTACCAAGGTTCAGTCAAAGAGAAAACCATAACAATTTAAGATCTGGGAATAATTTTTCTCATTGTATCAGCTCCAAATCCCACTGCAATCAGCACAGAGCTGTGCTCCCACTCCTCCTTTCTCCTTCCCCTTCGCCATTTTCACTGCATTAAAATGGAGGCATTGGAGGGTCTGTAGGAGCAGCACACTCTGCGCCTTGCCCATGTGATATCTTGCCTACTGGAAGGAGCACATTTGTGCAAGGCCCCATTCCACCCAGGCTGTGCCTGAAAAGCCTTTGGAGGAGGCTTGGTTGAAGGGCACCCGGGCCAGCCTGGTCCAAAGGCATTAATGGGCAGTGTGGGTCTGGACTGGAGGAGGAGGAAGATGTGTCTGGTGCCTGCTGCACCCGCCGGTCTCCCAGGACCTTTCCTGCAGCAGCCGGCACGTGCAGCGTGTCAGCCGCCGTGCTCCTGCGTGCACGTGTGGGCCTCCATCACCGTCCCCGGCGCTTTGAACAGCCACTTTGTAGAGGAGTAGGGAAGAGGTAAACTGAGTGAGTGTGTGTGTGTGTGTGTGAGGGGAAGGAGGGCGGGGAGGAAGGAAAAGAAATGTGAGAAAGCTTTAGATGTAGTCCAAGAGTCCATCTGGTGAGTCCTTCTGATGTTCCCTCGACAGAGCCCCCCCACTGAGAAGGTTCCCTCCTTTCCCCCTCATCTGCCAAAAACTGAGTCAGAGGCTGGTTTTGTTAGAAAGGGTCATGAAAGCTTTGTTCAGCCTGTCCCCACAGGGGAGTAGGGTGTTCATTTCTATAGGAGGTTATTCAGGCTGTCTGAGGCTTAGTTGTTCTTATTCACACAAAGCTGCACAGCCTGAACTTGGGAATCCAGCTGGAACATCCCATACTAGAAAAGGCCCGGGGTTGTTTCAGCTCATGGGTTTCAAGGGGTACTTTTGATTGCTGATAAGTGTTCTAATCACTTCTCAGGTTGCTTATTTATCCTTAGTGAGGGAGAAGGAGTAGGAGCAAATATCTGCTGTGGGCACAGCAGCTAGGCTTTGATCTGCTGCTGTTCCAAGTGGAAGAAAATGCCTTGCAGCATGCCTGGTCTCTTCTCAGCAGACCTGGTGAGGGATGGGGATTCAGGCTTCCCCTATTTTCAGGCACCTGTTTTTCACATTTTCTCCCAAGAGCCTGTGTCCATAATTGTGCTCCTTCTGGTTGTGTAGGTGGCTTTTACAAGGATTTGAGTGACCTTCTTGTCTTCCTACTGCTCCCAAGCCCTGTGGAGCTCCCAGTCATTGCTGGAGCTGCAGGAGCTGACTGCAATGTTATTGGGCTGCTTCTTGGTCATCACTTTGGAAACAAACTTTGTTGTTAACTAGACAGGATTTTGACTTTTAAAATTCAACACTATTTTTTAGAAGGAGGGAATTACACTTTATGAGTCTTCATTGGATGGGGGGATTAATGTAATACACAGTGGGAAAAGAATATATGGTGTAACAGAGCTCTAAGGAGTTGTAGAGAAGGAGATAAAAGGAACTGAAAGAGTGGAATGAAAGTAACAGATTCCAGACAGACTTTCATAAAAGTCTGGGGGAATTAATAATTACATAGGAGAATAAGAAATAGAAGAGAACTTTGCTGTCCTACTTTCTTTTAAAAACACCAATTCCCGCCCCACTTTTTACATTCAGTTTGGAGCTTATAGGTTCAAATTAAATTTAAACAGATGTGCACCAGCTATTTAGTTTCCAAACTCCTAAAGAAAGAGCGTATCTGTGTTTCCACTGATAAAAAGTGACACAAAGCCACTGCAAATTGAAGAAATTGTACAACAGAGCTATTTATCTTGCTCATTTAAGATAAGGAAATGTTTTAAACCAAAGTGTAAACAGGTTTAATGGCCTGACTATAGGAGGATGCCAAAAAAAGTTACTTCTGAAATAAGTAGTAAGTCTCGAAATCAGAAAAAAAAGAAAATGAAAAATGAAGCACTGTTACTGTTGGGACCTCATCACTGTCTGGGAGGAGAAATGCAATGCAGTGATGGAGGGAGATAAAGCAGGTTTTGAAGAGCTTTGTGTCCAGTAATTATTTTAAATACTTTAAAAGAAAATAAAAGGAATTTCATATTTCTGAATTACTGGTGAGTGGGTTCTTTTGTTAGCACAGTGCTCAGTTTGCTTCTCAGGGAAGGATCTGAGCTCAGACTCTGCCCATAGAAAAGAGATACACAAACTCTTCCCTGCAAATGATGGGAACACAGGGTCAGCTGCTCAGCACTGCTGAAAGTCAAAGCATTTCCAGTGGTACCTGATGCCAGCTTATCTGAGCTGAAGACATAGCCTAGAGTTACCAGCCCACTGAGGGGCTGTGCTGGGATCAGTTTTGCTGTATTTTGTTTTCCCCATGGTTAGCGGCTTCCTTGGGTAACCTTGGTGGGCATTTGGGACACAGAGCCCCTGCACAGCTGGGGTCCCCAGTAATGCTGGATGCAGACACCCCTTACAGAGGGTGGGCTGGGAAGGGAGTGTGTGTGCAGCCATTCATTGGCCCCATGCCCATGCAGCTAAAGACATGGGCTGCATCTATGTGGCAGAGCAGAGACAAGAATCTCACAGGTCCCATAAGCCTTTTCCAGTAGCTCTATTCCTGACATTCTAAAGGCCTTTCTCTTTTCTAAGACTGTTTCCATGTATATGTGTATCTTTTTTATCCTTAGCCCCGTTCTGTACTTGATTTGAGCCCTTCTTACCCTGACATTCCTGTTTTCTTTCTTCCTTCTCTTAAAGGCTAAGTGACATCATTCAGTGGGAGTTT